CATTGCCTGTGTGCCTGAGCAGGTGAAAAAATTTCATTAATTTGCTACTGTGTCTGGTGGGTGTTTGAATGCACTGAGCACAAATACAGGCAGGAGGGGCTGAAGTAAAACAGAGTGGAGCAGGATATCTATGTCATCATATTACTGCAAGGTTTACTTAATCATGGTACCTTGTACTTGTATCTCGTGGCATCTTGTGACTTTCCACGGTGGATAAGACTCGAAATAATGCCCAAAACAAAGTAAAGAGGTGCTTCTTGAACAGAGGGACTATGCAGCAACAGGCCCAGGACAGAGGGGAAAACAGCAGTTAGCAGATTTCCTTTAAAATAATCACACCCACCCAGGCTGTTACCGAAACATTGCACAACGTGAGCTAGAATTCCTCTAGTGTGTCGCAACACATCTCAATGACTTCATATAGCTCTGCATCCCCTCCCCTTCACACTCCTCCCCACCCCCCCAAATCAAACTTCATCCTGCAACCCCAACCTAAGGAAATGCTTCAGTGCATAAATATAGGCTGGTGCCAGAACCAGGGTGACCCCAAGGTCTCACTCTTGACATTCTACTTTTTGCCAAGATTATACGTGCACATGACGTCAACTCTACGATCATGTAGTTAATTAGCGAATGGGGTAGGTATTCCTATTGGAATAGATGGGGTTAGAAGGCACTGTGTGTCCATCACATGGCTCACTGACTTAGTCTCAGTGTCATTTGAGCCACAGGCCAGGATCTCTGACATCATCGAGTTTCTTCAACACACTATGTTCTGTAGGGACGGTACATTCTGCACGAGTTACATTTTTTGCAGTGCATTTGAATTTGCACCTTTCTTCAGACTGGATACACGGCCTGATCATCAAATAACTGTGTCGGGAGGTTTCTCTCAGCCCTCAGGGTAAGAAGCCAAAGGCACTATTGATATGTTACGAAAAAGTCACTTAACAGATGTTCTCCTGGTCATCTCAGTTACAGTTACAAAATGAAAGGATTAACTGGTTGGATAACATACCAGCCCATGTAGCATAATGGCTAAAGGGCCAAGTCCTTGGAGAAGTCTGCTGTACCCGTGACCAGGGAACTTAATCATTTCTAATTATCTGAATTATTTCAGAAAAGCTTTGTAATGGGTTGGCACCCCGTCCTGGGTGAGTCCCTGCCTTGTGCCCATAGTTTCCAGGATAGGCACCAGACCCTTGTGATATCAAACAAGACAAGTGGCTATAGAAAATGGATGGATGGATATTTAAAAAAAGAAGTGTTTATGTGCATAAAAGTGTCAAAGGCTTTGAATATGAAGATTCAACAAGGATCTATCTATTTATCTATCTATCTATCTATCTATCTAATCGAGGCAACATCAAACTACAATTTGCCATGAATTGCCTATATCAGAATCAGAGTTATGTATTGTCAAGTACTTCAGCATAGGAGGTTTTTACTTGGAATATATGAGACCCAGCCATCCATCTATTTTCTGTAACTGCTTGTCCTATTTGTGGTTGTGGGGAGTCCAGAGCCTATCACAAGGCAAGAAACAATCCAGGATGGGGTGCCAACGCATCTCAGAGTACACTCACACACCTATGGGCAATTTGGTAACTCCAGTTAACCTCAACATGTTTTTGGTATTGTCAGGGTCAGCCCCCCACTGTGGTCCTTCCGTGCCCCTTCCCCGTTTGACCAGCAGGTGGTGCTGGTCATCCCGTCCATACGTCAGTCCTTGTTTCTCCCCTGTCTCTTGTCTGGTCTTGTGGCTCAATGTATTAAGCATGTGCTGTCTGTTTGCCCCTCGGTCCTGAGTTCCCTCTTGTTGTGAGTTCGAATCCCGCCTCCTCTGTTTTTGTATTTTGCTCCCTAGTGTTTCATTTTAGTTTCTTTAGTTCTTGTGTCTGATTTTGTAGTTGGTTTTGGTTTTGTCCCTTGTGCCCCTGCTTGTGTCTTTACCTGTTTAATTCCCTAGTGTTGGTTTCTGTTTCCTTGATTAATTCTTAGTTTCCCTGATTGTTAGTGTCTTTGAGTTAATTGGTTTCACCTGTGTCCTGTTTCCCTAGTCTTTGTTAATCAGCCTCACCTGCCCTGTGTTAGTCATTACCCCTGTAGTATATTAGTTCCTGCCTTTGTTCTGTTCCCCGCTGGTTCATCGCGTTGTGTCTCAGTCGTCTATGCCCTTGTCTAGCCTTGTCTCTGGTTTTCCCTTGATTGTAGTTTACCTTAGTGTCGTGCTAGTTAGTTTTCCTTGTGTGTTATTTAGTCTAGTTAATTCCTTCCTGTTTTAGTTTTGACCCCTCATGGTCTTTTTGGTTTTCTTGTGTTTTGTTGTCTTTGTTTAATAAACCCTGTTTTGTTTGCTGGAGCCGCAAGTGGATCGTCCGCCCCTTATTTGTGCACCATGCCTCGTTCCCGTTCCCGTGCCATCCAGAACCATGACAGGTATGTTGGTAAGGTGGAGTACCCAAAAGAAACTCCACAATGACATGGTGAGAACATACAAACTCCACAAACATGGAACCATGGCAGAGACTTGAATGCTGATGCCAGAGGTGCGAGACAACAGGGTCAACCACTGCACCACCGTGCCACTGCATGTTTATGCCACACTGTATATGTGACCACTTTTCATATATGTGATTGTGAACAACCAACCTTCATCAGTACTCCTAAACAAAAGTTTTCATATCAGGCTCCTAGGAGCAGGACCTAAGTCCCATAAAGCAAGGAAGCAGCCCTTCATTAATGAGAAACAGAGAAGAGCCAGGCTGGAGTTTTGCAAAACAATTTGTTATTCACAAACACGCACCAATAAATTGAGAAAGTGAAACAAAAATTGTGCTGTGGTCTAAATTTTTTTCTGTGCCTATGTGTGTGTGGATAAATATACAGTCCTGGAAAAAATTAGGACACCCCATTAAATATTTAGTTCTTTATTAAGAAATATCAACATATCAATATTAAAATATCTGTAGATGAAGGTGATGTAATCGTATCACCTATGCAAAAACAAGAAACAAATTCACTTATTTAACAAAAGAAATTAGCCAATTTCCACTGAGGAAAAAGTTCAGACACCCTCACATTCATTACTATTTAAAATTCCTAGAATTAGATTCAGGTCACCACATCAGGTGGAAATGATTAGAACATCGTTACAGAGCTTTTGGGTGGAGCCTGTCTTAATTAAACCACAGATATTTAGTTTGGTTTGCTCTTGATTGTTGAAGTGAGTGGTATCATCATGGTGACATGCAAAGAGCTCTCTGAGGCCTTCAGCAAGAAGATTGTAGATGCATATGAGTCTGGGAAGGGATATATAAAGTTCTTGAGAGTTTGGAATCAGCCATTCCACTGTCTGGAAAATAATTTACAAGTGGAGAACATTTAAAACAATAGCCAATATGGCCAGGTCAGGCCATCCTAGGAAGTTCAGCCCAAGAGCAGACTGCAAGATACTGAAAGACGTCTCCAAAAATCCTAAAATGTCATCATGGGACATACAGGATGTCAAGGTACATGCACGTACCATCAGAAAGAGACTGCGCAAGTTTGGCTTACATGGGAGGTGTGCAAGGAGGAAACCCTTGCTGTCAAAAAAATACCAGGGCAAGACTGAAGTTTGCCAGAGACCATCTAGACAAAAAGACCAGGACTTTTGGAACAATACTTTGCACAAATCAATCAAAAATTAAACTATTTGGACACAGTAACAGAGGACATGTTTGGTGTAAACCAAAGACAGATTTTGAGCAAGAGAACCTCATACCAGCTGTGAAGCTTGGGGGTGGAAATGTCATGGTTTGGGGCTACTTTGCTGCAGCAGAACCTGGCCAGCTCACCATCACAGGATCCACTATGAATTCTTCATCGTATCAGAGGGTGCTTGAGGACAATTTGAGATAATCTGTCCAGAAGTTGAAGCTGAAGTGGGGGTGGACCATGCAAATGACAATGACCCAAAATAGGCAAGTCAAAGCCTGGATCTGAATCTTATTGTGATGCTGTGGGGTGATTTGAAACGGGCCGTGCAGGCGAGACAACTTTCAATCATCACATAGCTTAAGGAATTCTTAAGGAGAGTAGAGAAAACATTGTGCCAGTGATTTCAGAGATTGATATATCATATCGGAAATGTCTTATTGAGATTATTTCAGCCAAGGGGGGATATACTAGCTATTAGGGCACAGGGTATCCTAACTTTTTCCGCAGTAGGAATTGGCATCTTAATTTTTTATTAAATAAGTGAATTTGTTTCTAGTTTTTGCATAGGTGATGCAATTACATCACCTTTATCTACAAATATAATTCGAAACAAGATTTAATATTGATCTTTCTTAATAAAATACTAAATATTTAATATAGGGGTGTCCTAACTTTTTCGCATGACTGTATATATGACAATCATCTCTACTTTCATATAAATCATTAAACGTCTGCATATTTTTTTTATCCTAATTTGGGGAGACCCCTGTAATTCTGCAGTACACTAAATAAAACAGGATTGAATGATGGGTATTGTGTCTACTGGCAAAAAAAGGATGAAGCTGCCCTCTGATGGACACATAATTCCAATGCAGCAGCCATGGTAGGGACTGCATTATCTTTCAGTTCCATAGCAGCTGTTGCTGTTCTCCCAAACAACCTGCACCTTAGGGACATCTAGACTCAAGTCTGATTATATCTTTAATTAAAATCAATTTTAAATTCCATTTGCAGATCTATTCACTAAATGCTTATAATACATGTGGTCAGTATAGCAGTATTCCATATAAAATAGAATCAATTACATATAAATAAAAACATGTCAGCGATCTGAAACCAGCAGACAAGCTGATTTGCTTCAGTTTTATATTATTTTTCTTGACCCATTATGGTCGATATCTATATTGTATGTATGATCACCAGAACAGGCATAAAAGGTAAGCAGTCATAATATAAGACCTTTAATACACGGCACGCTGAATTACTAAAGAGGAATGCAGGCATGACACCGGACAGGAGCCTTTTCAGCTCAGAGGAGTTTTATTATGTCCTGAATGGGGAGCGATGGAGGGATTGGGACAGCAGGGCGGCGTCTCTGGGCCCCGGGCCTCACAAAGCTACAGTAATGTCCGCACATCACCACCAGACACAACAAATAAAATAAAAGAAAGGTCTCATGAGGTGGCTGTGAAGCTGTCAGGACTCACAGCCTGAATGTCATACAGAGGCCCAGCCCAGCTTCACACATTTGAAAAGGAAAAACAGCAACAAATAAGACATTCTCTTAAAATAAACCTACTTCAAGTAAATGATGAGCAAAAAGCACACATGCTTCTCCTCATGTAGGCTATGTGTTCAAATATAAAAATAAAAACAAACTGTCACAATGGTACAGTGTAGTCCCATAAACCCAATCATTATGGAGGATACTGGCCCCATACTGGCCTAGAGGATACTATTATATAGATATACATTAAAATACATCTGAAAATACAGTCACCTTTTTGGCATCGATTGTCATTTATATCTAAGCTAAAACAGACCGAAGACATACAGTATATCCATCAACAATAATTGCAATATATACGCAACATGATAATAATTATGGATCTATAACACAGCTCAGTTCGGGTCTTTGTGCGTGTGCATGACTCCCCCGTTAGTTTACCACGTGCCGTTACAACATTAAAACAAAGAAACAAAAAAGGAGGAAAAAAAACACACACAAAAAAAAAACAGAAGACGGAAACATGAAGCGTAGGAGACCGTAATGGAGGCAGTCGTTAAAGAGGACTACAAGTATAACCAAGGAGACCTTCTGAGGAGGGGGATCCACCCGGTTAGCATGAATTAATTATTAGGTTCTCCAGTTCGTCTGTCTGACTGATGATTCAAATAGTTATACTTCAGAAATGCTCTTTATAATACCAAAATATTATTAACCATTCCGGCCATTAATTGTCACTGGTAGACAAACAGGTATTTAATGTATAAATAGCAATCTTCCATACCACTCTTCCAGGACATGGTCGCAGTGATAAATATATGTTTAAATAACGTATAATGCATATACAAATAAAGGCGATGGATAAGCCAAAGAGCCATTGATGCGCAACTCCCGTATTCCCGTAGTGTACTGTCTCACTATCCATTGAAGACAATATCTACTCATTTCTAATATAATTATAACCATATATTATATCACAATAACGTTAGAGTTCACGGAAATCTTAAGAATCTTATTGGCAATGACGCGACAGCCAGCAGCGCAGGAGCCACGGCCGGAAGCGATGGTGAGAGTCCCAGCACAAGACAGACCCCACCAGTGAATCCGAGCTACTGGGTAGCTCACTCAGCTTCACTGACGTTGACTCGCACCGCACATTCTTGCTATAAAGACTAGGGTGCACACCGAAGGCAATGGAGGCCCGGGTTAATTAAGGGCAGACTGACTGGTACCCTGTTTTGTGAATCTTAGGACTGTCGTTGCGCCTCCTACGTCTGGGGGGTATGGCGGCCCTTCCCGAAAGAATTTCTTGGTTCCGGTTACCGTGGCTCTCCATTAGGGGGCGCTAATGTTTTGTACAAAGTTAACCTCCATTTTATTCAGAATCGTGATGGAATTGCAAACCTGTTGAAACCTGATCTCATTTCGTTTGATTAGCTGCATTGCTGGTCGCTTATTCATATGAATTATATACAAATACAATATCGGCAATGGACCTAACTGACTGATCAGTAGCAATTATGGGGTCACTGAGTTCTTCATCATGACTTGGGTGAATTCTAACCCTGGCTATACCCTAGACAAGATGTCAATGCATCTTCTATTGGGCCAGTCATTGTGCAATTTATTTTGTACTACACACTGAACGTGTGTGAGAAAAGAGAGGACAAGCCGTATGGTGGAATTTCTTTGATAAGACAAACCTGAGATTAAATTTGGCTGGGAAACGGTCCTGCTCACAGTCTTAGGCTCCACTGTCTGCAACCACCTCCAAGATGGAGGAGAAGATGGCTGTCAGTGGGCCAGGAAACGGGCTTAGACCCCAATACCAGGCGGGTCCTTGTAATAGGAGGTCATGGAGTTAAATCATCATTGGGAGAGAAGCACACAGTGCATGAATGAATGGAGCATCTCAAGCACGCTGTCAGCAGTTCCTGTGGTTGGGGCCCTGACCCCCTCCTCCAGTTTGGGAGGCATCTGTGGGCAGGGCTGCAGTGGAATCGACACCAGGGGTGCTGGGGCTGGGTGTTTCACCAGGGGACACCGGTGGCAGTGAGGCGGGAGAGCCGTCAGACTCACAGACTAGGCGCTCCTTTTTGCCCGTGGTGGGGGTGCGGGGGGAGGGGCTGCGGCTGCCCAGGTGAAGGCCCTGCAGGCGGGGCAGGGCGGGGCTCCGGCTGCGGCTCCGTCGGCCCTGACTGCGGCCTTTGCTGGGGCTTGGGCTCCGGGATGTGGCGTGCAGCAGCCCCATGGTGCTGTCGTCCTCTGAGCTGAAGTCAGAGCTGTCAGATGGGCTGAGCACCGGGCTGGAGGTGGGCAGCTGGATCTGCAGGAAGAAACCAATGGGGGGAAGGAGGGGGGTATTCATATAAAGGGACCAGACCAATGACAGTCATGGGGGGGAAGGAACACAGAGTGCCAGCAGCTGGGTGATGCGACTCTGAGACATTTGGACTCCATCTTAGCAATCAATTAATTTGTTTTCACTACTTCTGGCCAGTTCATATTTTGGGGGGCACAAATATGTAAAAAAATGAATAATATTCTCTCAGTACAAATATCTCAAAGTAATTTAGTAAAACATCAAGGCTCAGCCCGTCAACTCAAGGTGAATGTCTGAGCAGAAAGTCAAGCAGCTTGAATTTATTAAGCAAAGGTGGAGAATAGCGGATTAAATATGGGTTGTTACTGTTTCGGGGGGGGGGGGGGGTGTATACTGGGTTCATTCAAACATTCCTCTGGCTCAATTTGCCAAACTGGTACTTCATTGTATGTGCTACCTGTGTACTTTATTTAACATTATATATATTATTATGCCACGATAATTGGGTTCAAACTGTGCATGAGCAGTAGGAGAGAGCATGGGTTCAGACACGACCTGGAAGGGCTCTGTCACGCCCACTATCGTGCTCATGTTGTTGCTATAGTAACCCAAGATGTAGTCTCCAGAGCCTTTTGGCAAATCCTCCTCTGCAAAGGTCACCTGTGAAAGAGTGGGGGCATGGGGAAGAAGGGGGCACAAATCAGCAGTAGCAGTAGCCTTATATGTGAGCTCTAATGTATGAGGGTGTATGTGTTAGTGTGTAAGTGTTAGTGTGTATGCCATGTTTTGGAACAGCCTGCCGTACCTGGTACTCCTGTGTCAGAAAGTCTGTCTCCTCTTGTTTGGCCCACACATACCCAACATAATCCTTGTGGTGCTTGAACCCAACCTGGAGAGACATTTGATGGATGGCATCATTAAGTGACGGACTGTACCACTAATTATCAGGGTGCTCCGCTAAGTTGCACAGCAATGATAATTGGCCAGCGTTAACGTTTCCCTTAGCCAATGGCGTGGTTCCTGCCCCTGCTCTGCCCACCCCAACACCCTTGTTCCCTGACAGGGCAAATAACTGGCACCTTGTACAGCCCAATCCAGTCCCAGGAGCTGCGGGAGAAGGTGGGCACCAGTTTGAATTTGGCCGTGGCGTCCGAGGGTTTTGTCCACTCATCCTCCACCATGAGCGTCACCCAGGGAATGTCCACCTTGTAGGGGAACTGAAACGGCAAAGTCAGCGACACTGTGGATGAACATGATTTTCATGCTATACTTTTGAATAATGCAACATACAGTTATATTTCACAGTGGATAACAGTGGAGCCCTCTACTGGAGGGAGCATCAACCTGCAGGGTGAAGATGGCAGAGACGGGCTTATGGTCGCTGATGACGTACTCCATGTGGCTCCGGTAGGAATACTGGGTGACCCGCGTCCCGCTAGTGAGCCCCGACGCCAGGCCACGCCTCGCCGCCACAAGCTGCGAGGCTGGCCTCAGCCGCCAAAGGATGCGGTCTGTCCAGGCTGGCTTACGCTTTTTCCCGCTGCCGGAAAGAGCAACACAGTGACGTCACACAAAGTGACCCACATAGCTAATAGCACCATGTTCATAATCATTTAAAAATTGTACAGCAGCACCTTTATCTGAAGCAACGTATATTTTTTTGAGAAAACAGGGTCACTTCATCCCTGGAACAACTGGGAGTTAAGGGCCTTGCATACGGCACAGTGTTCAACTGTTCAACCTGTGCACCATGTTCACAGATACAACAGCCAGCGCCCTTTCAGGATGTGAACCTACAACCAACAGGTTGTAAGCCGCTTGCTGCTCCCCTTTTAACATGTGTGAGGCAGAGACCCTTACGCCAAGCCAAAGTAAACTGCAGCACTTATCTCCCACCTTGTGTCGTAAGTGTTGGTCCCCACATCAAACTTGTAGGTGGGGGGGAATTTCAGGGGGCCCTCCAAGAATCCGTCAAGCACCTTCTCTGAATCTTTCGCCATGTTCAGCTGCAGGACAAAGAGAAATATTAACATTTGTACTGATGCGGGCAGGACAAACTAAACAACGGCCCATTAATGTTACAGTGCCTGGACAGCCTTTAACTGCTAATCATTGTACTGCCCGCCATCTAGTGGTGAGTATACAAAACAGCAGTCCAGTTAGATATGAAGCATCACTTCCTCACCTGGTCTTTCTCCCACAACAGTGACAGGTTGTTACTGTCGATCGCGCTCTTTACTACTTGAATGTCATAGTCTTCAATGCGGAAGTTCAGATCCCCAAACCAGAACACCACACTGAGCAGGAGAGACACGTGCGCACAGCAAGTAAGGAAGACCCACATCCTGATTCCCAACAGCATGGATCACAACAATATTTACCTGAATGTTACTTAGACGTTAACATAGGAGGATAAAGCAATGGTTAATTCGCCTAAAAGGTGGGGTGGAGTTTTCTGGCTAAAGGGAGTGAAAAAATCTGCTTCATAAAGGGAAATAAATTCTACCATCCATCTTGCAATTGCTTATTCAGTAGAGTCTCTGTGAGACTGGATCCTGTCCCAGGAAGCATCGGGTACAGGGTAGGGGACACCCTGGCCTGGATGCCAGTTCATCTGAGGACACAGATGCTCAGTCTTATGCGATAGGCGACTGGGAGACAGCAGGTTTTGGGGCCGCAGGGGGAGAACATGCAGGCTCACAAAGACACATGGAGGCGGCAGTCGAGGGCAGTGCCCACGCAGATGTTTCAGATGTCAGTCATATGGTTGTTTTTCCCTGCTTCATGTCCTGGTTTGCAGTGTGTGCATGCAGGTATTTATCTTTTGTCCATCAATGGCTGTTGAGATTTTTCACCAGACTTTTCACCAGTTTGCATGAGGATCTGTTTTTTCAACACAAAGAATCTGTGAAAGGTGCTTTTAAAAACCTAAAAGTGGTCAGTCACAGAAATAAATAAGCAGCTCATACATAGGATGGGGATTCGCCTAAAGCAGTTTCTCAATCTGGTCGTCAGGGACCCCCGAGACGGGAGGGAACAAAAATGTGGACCATGAGAACTGGATTGAGAAACACTGGCTTAAAGTTTACTTCTAACACAAAAAGGGGGGAATGTTTCCCAAGCACCATCAGGGGGTGACCCTGGGGCGGGGGGGGATTCAGCTCACTCGTGGTCCAGCACTCCCGTGGCGGCCTGGCCCTCGAACTGCTGCTGCTGCAGGATGCTCTCAAAGTCCTCCATGCGCTGCTCCGAGTTCTCCATGTGTGCGGGCAGGTGGCAGTTCAGGAAGCAGATGGGGTGGCCGAACACGGTCATGCGGGCGCTCACGCCCCCTTTGTTTCCCTGTGGGGGGGGGGGGGAGGTAAAGCAGTGTCTATCGTCTAGTACACCACGGGTACGTAGGTCAGTGTGCTGCAGCCCCTGCTCCTCTCCAGTGGCTCAGAGACGCCAGCGCTGAACTCCAGCAGCGTCCCACAGAGTTTGAGTTAAACTCAATTATCAACCGCTGTCATGAAGGGAGTTTTCAGCGTCTTCAGGCTATATTAACAGACGAACCCTAATTGGTTTAACGTGAAATTTGCCCTTTTTAAACACAGACCAGTAACCTCCATACACATACAGCCAGAGCACAGTGTAGTCCAGTACAGTCTATGCTAGGTTTGTGTCACAAAACGCAAAGCCAAATTTCTCATGCACTGGAAAAGTGATGTTTTCTAGTTGTGTAGCAGTCAGTAGCCAGGACCCCTAAGATCTGTCTGTGAGTGTTACTGGTTACCTGGGTGACCGTTACCAGAGGGACCAGTTCAGTGAGTTTGTTACCTAGCAGATGCTGATGTGTGATTCTCTGTATGGTATATGCGTGTTGTCCACTGGCAGGCCACTTACCCAGTAGCCCCCCAGGCCGGTGCGCGTGCTTTCGGTCTGGACCCCCCTCAGGAAGGGTAGGTGGTAGTATTTGGCAAACACCAGCAGCAGCACCCCCTGCATGCGCTGGGACGTCACCTTGGTGGGGGGAAGGGGGTATTGGTCAGTTGTTTTGTTTACTCCTGTGTCTGATTCCTGCATCTGAATCCTGTGTTTGATTCCTGCATCTGACTCCTGTGTTTGACTCCTGTATCTGACTCCTGCATCTGAGTCCTGTGTTTTACTCCTGCGTCTGAATCCTGTGTTTGATTCCTGCATCTGACTCCTGTGTTTGACTCCTGTATCTGACTCCTGTGTTTTACTCCTGCATCTGATTCTTGCATCTGATTCCTATGTTTGACTCCTGCCTCTGACTCCTGCATCTGACTCTTGTGTTTGACTACTGTGTTTGTACCTTTTTCTGAAACACAGTCTCTTTTTCTCTTTCTCTTTCTTTCTGCAGAGATAATATGCAAACCATATTGAAATAGTTGCCTATGTTTGAAGTCCCTCAGCTGTGTGGGTTTTTCCTGAGCATCTCATGCACACCACAGCTGCTGAAAAAGTAATGGAAGCTAAAAGCAACGCACAAAACAAACCCCCCCCCCCCCCCCCCAGACATGGGGCCTTCATACACAAGCTCCAACTGCTGATGAAACACAACAAGAACACATTCTGTTGTTACTTCTGAACACGGGCACATGGCACTGAGATATAATACTAACACGTCTTGGCAAAGTGTTGTGCAAGTGCTCACCCCAGAGGGGGATCAGATACCGCCTCTTTCTGATTTAAGCAAGCTTGATGGCCAGACAGATATTTCCCCCACAGCCCTGTGCCCCTTGCGATTACAAACACATTCACAATCTTCCCAAATATGACCCCTTTTCTCTGCTCTTCTCCGGCTTCACAGAAGCTTCTCTCCCAAAGCAGCCATTTGAACTGCCTGCTTACACAATCTATCCCACTGAACCATAAAATGGAGTGCAGAGTGGAAAAAAGGCCCGTATTTACTGAATTCAGATCCAGATGAGGGCGACCACAGTGCATTCTGGGATTAGAGATGCAATCAGGATAGGGAGAAGGGCAGAGGAACACATTCACTACAGCCTGAGCCAGTATCTGTGGGATCCAATCAAACAGCTGTGGCCAGGTCACAGTCGGGTCTGATAAGCCTGCCTTTCTGTGACCGTGTCACTTCAACCTCACCCAGGGTTCTCCTGCATAGCATTAAAAGCAGTTAGTTGCCCTCTACAGAAGATGTGTTGAACACTAATTATCACACATACTGCATGTAATACATTACAACACATGACACAAGCACTCATTTTCAAAATCTATTTAAAACTGACCTTTTGCACTGAGGTGTTAAGCAGTATTAGGTTAGGGGCCACAAATTTGGTTGCTGGAAAATCTCCAGTTTATTTCAGAGGATTTTTTTGAGGACCCCATAAGGTGACTTTGGGAATGGCGCCCCCTTCAGTATGGAAACATCAGGGCAGCAGCGAGAACGGCCACCACGGACCGAAACACGGGCAAACAGAAAATCAGGCTTTAAGGAAAACCTCCGCTTTCTGCAGTAATTTTACATCTGTTTAATTTCTGGGTGAATTATTAATAACTTATTGTTGGTTTGCATTTTATTACAATAATCTGTCAAAAAAGTAGCCAAAATTGTAACACAGTTCCCAGAACAGAGTCAGATCAGCCCCAAGATCAATCAGAACCCACCCCCAGCCACATCACCGGCCCCTCCAGCTCCAGTGAGCAATCGGTCACAACTCACTGTTTAACCGCTATCTTACTTATAAAGGTCCGTGCTAGAGTAACATATCACAGCCACTGCTGGGGGAGAAAAGTCAAATAAGAAAAGAGATTATTAAACTAACGTGATGTATAACACCCCCCCCCCCATACACACAGACACACAGTTCTGGAAAAAATTATGAGAACCCATTCTTTTTTTTAAATCTGCATTTTAAAATTCTGGTTTAACCCTGGTCCTTCTGGCAGAAGGCTACACTGCGAGGTAGGCTGCTTTCAGGCTCAGAGTTTCTAAGACAGCAGTACACAAGAACAAGGTGAAGCAGGAGACACTGACAATAATCATAAACCAGCCAGGCAGAGGGCAGAAGCAACTTTCTAATGCCTAGGATGACATTCAACTTATCCAGCAGTGCCTCATAAATCAGAGGATGACCTCAAGTGACCTTCAAAAAGAATGGGAAATGTTAAGTGATGTGAAGTGCAGTTCATAACAGTCTCCTAGAAATAGATCTGAAGACCCATAAAGCAAGGAAGAAGCTCTTCATTAATGAGAAGCAGGGAAGAGCCAGGCTGAAGTTTGCAAAATTATGGGCGCTTACCAATATATTGAGAAATGAGTGAAACTGAAAATTTTGTTGTGGTCTCTTAATTTTTTCCAGAGCAGCACATAACTTACTGAGACATAATGTTGGTGCTGGTGTTTTGGGACTGAGAAGGTGAGCTGCCTATTGATCTAAGCTAAGGTGACCTTGAGATGCAAAGGGTTACAGGGTAATTATGCATAGGGTGGGAATGGGGGGGCGTTACTGACCAACACGTATCCAAAGGGGCTTAGGGTGTCCATGAAAACCTCGCTCCACTGGTCAGTGAACAGTACGTCCTTCAGCCTCTTGTTAATCATGGAGTTCACTTCCTGTAGCCTGAGACAGAGAACAGGACGGGATTGGCGTGCAGACCCTCAAGGACATTTCAGAGACTCCCAGGAGCAGGGTGGGAGGAGGCATGGAGAAAAAGAGTGAGGGAGAGAGAGAGGAAGAGGAAGTGAAGAGAGACAGAGGGTATTAATACAGACAATTACAGGGGGCCCCGAGGGAGGAGAGATGAAACGAAGTGAGGGTATAAAAAGGAGGAGAGGACGAGGGAAGGAACGCGAAGGAAAGCTGGAATGGCTGGGCAGATGGACTGTGACAATTGTTCCAGTTTATTACTTGCCTGAGAAAATGAAATACAAATTCCTGCCTTTGGTATAACTGCAGTCTTTTCTTATCTACCTCAGTTTCATTAGTCTCCTTCACACCTAAGACGCCACTCTACATGTGGAACGGGGCCCCAAGGCAGAAAGTCTGTGGCCAGCAGCTGGTTGTCAGGTGCAGATCATATGACCTCACACTGCTAATGTGATTGGACATGTGCCGGGTCCCTGACTGTGGGCGTCCTGGTAGCTGCTGGTGTTGCATACGACTGTGTAGAGCTTGAGGAAGGTCTGACCAATGGATTTGAAGAGCTCTAGGACCGATTTATCTGACAACACTGTACAGATTTTGCACACTTCCTGAAACAGGGGCTTGTGCTTCAGCTGTTATACACTGGGACGCTGTGTAAGCTTCAGGCTGTAGCCTCTGGGCCCATGATGGTCTTGTATCTTACCCAGGAACCCACATTTAAATATTCTGCTCCAACATCAGCAACCCGGGTGGCCTCACCCAATGATGTACATGTCAGTGTTTCCATCTCCTATGTTCAGCTCCAGCAAGGAAGTGAGGTCATCAGGTGGCACAGCCGAGCCCACGTTCCATGTGACTAAATGCACCCTATCAGAGAAAAGCAGGAGCCGTCATGGGGCTTCACATATCTCGCCAAAGGGCCTGTAAATGCAAACTATTCCAGCACAAATTATAATGATTTTAATACAGTTTTTAGTACGGAATTACACATTGGCCTTACAGATAACAAATCTAACTTTTATATTATCCATTAATCTTTTTTTTTTTTCTTAACTGCCTATCCATACAGGGTTGTGGTGATCCAGGACAGTCCACTACAAGTGCAGGTCATGTGACCTGCCTGCATGCACACATACACACTAACGTACAGCACCAAAGAGATAAATAATCAAAAGTAATCAACCATCAATCTATCCATCCATCTATTCACAAATCTTCCATAACTGCTTATCCAGTGATATTCTCAGACAAAGTGTCTGAATGTTTCTCGCACCATTGTTACTGGGCTGCAGGATGGGTTTCCAATGGAAACGACAGATTACATCACCCTGCAGCGTGACTCAGAGTGAAACCAAGGGTATGCTGAGGAGCACATTCCAGCCACATCACTAACACTTAGGATGCTTTGGTTTTGATCCAGCACCCTTGTTCTTAATCATATCTGCTGCAGACGTCCTTGTGAGGGACACAGGATGATATTGCGGGGGGGGGGGGAGGCCTAACCTGAAATCCTCCACTGCTTGCACTTGTATGTCTGTGGTTCCTGCCCTCTGCTGATGGGCGGTGAATTGGGTGTCTTCGGGCAATGATGGCGGTGGCTGGGGTACTGGAGCCGCCCGAGTAGAGGTAGGGCTTCGAGAGCCTGAGCTATTCTGTTGTGGGCCTTCGGGGCCCAGGGGGCCCAGTGAGCCCGAGCCCTGTGGTACAGGCTTCCCAGACTGGGGGGTGGTGACTTGTACCCTTGACTGAACCTGAGGAGCTCTGGGTGTGTCCGGTTCCATCCTCCCCGCATCTCCTGGCTGAGACCTGGACAACTCAGGGGTCAGCTGACATTCAGCAGGTTGGTCCGACTGCCGCGCCCTCCTGGGAGCCCTCGGGGTCAGGGACGTCGGTGGGCCGCCCTGGGCTATAGGAGTGGTGGGAGTCCTGGGTGGCGCTGATCCGGCCTGACCAGACGGCTCAGTGTCTCTTCGGGTCGGTTGTCCTACATCCATGTCCCTGACAACACAACAGAACAGAAGACAGCGCTCTTATGCTCAGTGGATGACCATCCTTCATGGGACACAAACCCCTACCTCAGTCGGCCCATGCTGACCAACGGCAGCAGGACCCTGAAGTGGGTTTCATTTTACCCTCCTTCATCATCATCATCTACATTATCAGGGGTTCCAGGTCACGTCACACGCCACGGTATACCATAATACTGCCCAAACCTACTTCAAACCAACATCAAACCAACAAAAACCAACCAGGTGCAGGTTCTGGTTCCCAATCCTAACCCTAACCGGCATGTCCTGCCCAGTGAGGCATCACAACCACCCCCGTCCCTGACAGGTCACTCAACCTGGGTATACATAAGAACATAAGAAATTTACAAACGAGAGGGGGCCATTCGGCCCATCAAGCTCGTTTGGGGAGAACTTAACTAATAGCTCAGAGTTTTTAAAATCTTATCTAGCTCTGATTTAAAGGAACCCAGGGTTTTAGCTTCCACTACACTAGCAGGAAGACTATTCCATACTCTAACTACACGCTGTGTAAAGAAGTGCTTCCTCAAATTTGTTTTAAAATGTTCTCCCGCTAATTTCCACTTATGGCCACGAGTTAGCACTAGTATTTAAACTAATATTGAAATAGCCATTTGGCTGAACAGCATCCAGACCCGTTAGAATCTTATAGACCTGGATCATATCCCCCCTTAGACTCCTTTGCTCAAGGCTAAACAGATTCAGCTCAGCTAACCTCTCCTCATAAGACAACTGTCTGCCTGTCAATCAGCAGACTGAACACTGATCGACAGGAACTGTCATCTCCTGAGGCTCTGGGGTGATCGCCCCTCTGAGACCATGTGCACTGGCAGAGCGGGACCTGAACTGGGAACCCTGGACGAGGCAGTGAAGGCCCAGATCCCCTCACACCAACAAACTGTGAGTAATTCTCTTATTGCATCATCAATCATGCAGTTTTGACTTCTAAGTAATCAAATATAAATGAGTTTATGTAAATGAACAGCACCCGGTAATATGTATTATGCAAATGAATTCTGCCCTGTAACCAAATATGCAAAAACACAACTACAGACCTTAGGTCAAACATAATAGTATCTGTCAATGGCTTTTTTGGGATTCACATTGTTACCACTTAACCATTAACCAGTTCACCAATTTTTCAAAAGGCTTCCATGGTAGGCAGTGACCTGCCTGTCAATCAGCAGACTGATATCAGAGATTAAAAATATTAGAAATTCTTTTGGCATGAATATGAGACTTTTAATGGACGCTAATCAGATGCTAAATGCTAAATGACCACCAGCACAGTACAGCTGTTGTTTCTGCACGCCTCTCGCACACTTTTGGGATTCCTGCAGAATCGTGACCTGACGCCCATTACTCTGGGTTATTTTTAAAGGCATGAAACTGTGTAGGAAAATCGTAGAGGACAGGAAAAGTTCAGGAGACGAAATGCGTGACCATGAGCACACACGTTTCCAAAGCAACACAGAAACAGGTGCACCCCCTTTCTGCAGCCTCTGGGATGGGGGCCCAGTGTGATATGCTTTCATGGGGGCCAAAATCTCTAGCAGTGCCCCTGCCAGGGTTGCCAGATCCAGTGAAGATACCTGTGATAACAATAAAATTAACTTGCTAAACTAATCGCACTCCACACTCCAATTAAGAACTATCAGGCAGGAAAGTTTAGTTGCGCGGTGAAGACAGGAAGGGGTGAAAGGGGACTGCACACGCTGGGAGGGGGGCAGCAGGTGACACTGATCAAGAGCCTAGCTTTGAAGCCCCACAAATATACAGGTTAGAGAAGGAAGAGCCACATTCACACACTGAATAGTCAGTAGATAAACACTGATCGGCTTCGACACCTTGGGCTGACCACAAAGGAAGATTACTAAACAAAATGAAGCAAATAAGGAAATAAAACAGGAAGAACAGGAATGAAAACCACACTAGTGAAATCAGCTAGCTGCTTCTTTCATTTGAGAGGCTTACAAAACGCTGCAGAAAAGAGGCTAAATTAGACGAAACAAAAGAGCAGAGAGCCACCCTGGTGCCGCGTGCCTGTTTGCTGAGGTACAGCAGTGCTGCGGCACTCGCACCTTACACAAGCAGCTCAGATAGGGACCCATTAAGTCGGGTTATATTTAGCGCATGGAAAGGCAGCATTTATCAGGCCCTTCTGCTGGTGAATTTTAAGAACTTCCATGTCAGCTGTAAACATTCAGCACTGACCAGTCAGGCAGAGAAGGGAATAATGTTTCCTTTTCAGGGCCGGTCGGCGCTGCAGGCGACATAGGCAATTGCCTAGGGTGCCATTTGATTAGGGGGCACAAAAGAGCGAATGAAACAAAGCAGAAGTAATACCTCTGGTTGCATTCCATGGTTTACATTACAGCTATTTACAGTACTTTTGATATTGCCCTACTTTTCTTGTGAAACAGAGGTGAGCTTGCTAGTTAGTTTGCTAGTTATATCATTATAATAACTGTCAAGACCATTATATTTTGCATAAGTGGTTTGAAATATTTTGAATGCATCCCTTCAGCCAATTCAATAAAATGCATAAACACAATCAAAACCAAAACCATTATAGTTTATGATGTTGAGAGGAGAAGCAGGATCTCGGGCTTTAAAAGCCGCAGCACGTCTTTAATCACATTCTGGGGAGGCGACAGCAGCAGGCTGTGCTGAAAACAGACGCTGAGAGGGTCTGAATCAGCTGTAATTATGCTCTGACGCGAGCCTTGCAAAGACTCTAATTAACCCCCCAGCAATTAGACAGTGTGTGATGGTAGGAAAAGGCACTGAATGGACCGCAGGGCGGATGAGGGAGGGGCTGCGAGATCGAACACAACAAGGCTCCATTACCGAGCGCCCACCCCACTGAAGTAACACCACTTCCCTCCCGCTACACCACCCCACCCCGGCCCCCCACCCCCGCCTCCCTAAAAACCTGACGGTGACATCAGCGTGACACTGGTGCAGGGTCAGACCTACCAATGGCAGCCAGAGGTAGATCAGGAAGAAAAAAATAAAGAGAGAGATAAAAAAAAAGAGGAAGACAAAAAGAAATGGTGAAAGAGTAAAGGAGAAACAGAGACGAAGCAGGCTGCACTGTACAACACAAACAGCACTGAGCAGCACCAGTAAAAAGGTCAGGAAGGGCAGATGCAAATTCAGTCATAAACAGACCATCATAAATTAGCCTTCTGACATATCCCCCCCCAGATGTGTGTTAACCAGAAACAAACGCATGATGCCGAGCACTTACACCTGTACCTGAAACGGAAGCCATGAAGATAAGGAGGTGAATTTAAAATTAATGCATGCAGATTAAATTTGGTATGAAAGAGAAGAGCAATAAATAATGCAAAAAGCTGATTAGTAGGAAATGTCAACTTTCTGAATTGATTCGCTGATGGGTAATGATAGTGACAGATGCCATTTGTCTATCTTTTGATGTTCCTGGGAAACCCACCCCCAAAAAAACACAGGGACTTCATTCTTAAGAAGGGCCAATTAATCCCAAACACAGCACCCCACAGAAGTGTGCTTCAGTAAAGCTCAGCCCCTTCTAAGCATAGAAAGAAGCATTTCTTCCATAGCAGCCTGAGAATGTGCGAGATGGGATTTCAATAATCCTCAGGGAGCAGCGGCTTTAACTCTCGCTGGGTCTCCAAAAGGTTGGAGTTGAGAATACGAGATGACCCTCCAGCATGGCTGGACGTGGATCTGCACAATACGCTGGACAGGGAAGAATGGGATTGTGCTAATCAGGAGAGGCAGAACAAACAGCCCCGAATCTGGGCTGACCTCCACTCCCAGTCCTCATCCAGCTGGAACTCCTTGACTAATCACCAGAAATCAGGGCTTAACCAGTGGTGCCCACACAGATACGTACAGCTGGATCATTTCATCCATACAGGTGACTATCCAACAAGATCATGAACCTCATGAACAGCTAGAGATGATTGCAATCCATAAGCTGCCCACAAAATAAGGTAGTATTTTAACCTTTGATAAATAATTTTTTGTGATCTTCAAAGTAACAAAATTTACTTTTTACAGATCAACAATTAAGATCATCAATCCCCATCAAGCCAGTTAGAGTAGGTTACCCGGACCAGTCCATGATGCAACGTAACTGGACCCAGGATACTCAGACGGGCTGACAGTAGGGCATGTGTCTGGGTAACAGCATCTCCTTCATGCTGATTCCCGACACTGGAGCTTTACAGCTCCGTATGCCCAGCCTGCCGCATCCTGCTCCCGCCCAGCCTGCCGCGTGAATGAGGGCTCCTCAGAGTTTGGCTTCCAATGCCATGACCATGAGTTGGCCTCCAGAGAGAGGAAAGAGGACGCCAGCCAGATTCCAACATCACCCCCAACGTCAGCATAAGAGGAGAAGGCATCCTGGGCTGTGGGAAAGTAGCTAGTGATGGTACCCGCATTTACAGCGTTTACAGCGACAGCAGAGTCAGCAGCTTCAGCTTCCACTGAATTCACATGAACTTCATGTGGCCACATCTACGACAAGCCAAGTCTGTATCCCCATTACATCTACTCACTTAGGGGGCTAGAACTCCCCATCAAACACCCTCAGGTCCACCACAATTACTAGGGGTGCAGAAAATGGAACGTTCTGTCTGGATTCATCACGGGGGAGCAGTCAGTGTGTCCCGTCCCAGAGGATGCATTCCATAGTCAAGGACTCAGTCAGCCTCAACACAATAAGAACATAAGAACATAAGAACAATAATAATACCCGAGTACTTCACACTCGCAGTTTTCTGGCATCATGACACACTTGCACTAAAACTGCACCGCAACAGCTACAGCAACCCATATACAGTTACCCTACATATGAATTCTCTCATATTACTCTCATATTGCATTTGCATTGCCCAGAAAGGGAATTCTCAGGTGCACATTCCACTGAGCGATGTGCTCATTACACATGACAAATCATCCTGAAATTCTATTGGGTGCTGCAGGTTTTGTGCATCTCTTTTGGGTTCAAGGGCATAGCTGGGCTCCTACCTGCTTAATGCAAGAAAGCCACACCCCTTCTTCACCTCCCCCCAACTGTCCTTGACCTTATTATCCAGCATGACTGCCCCCCCCCCAAAGCACCTGGCCAGTCACCTGACTCCCCCGGTCATGCATGAGCATCGCGGAAGTCTCCAGAATGGTTCTCCTCCCTGCCTGTGCACCCTTAATGACGGCTAAAACAGACTGCCTGTCGTTCGCATTATTTCAGCCTCCTGCAGGCCAGCTCTCATACTGGCTCATCAGAAGGACCTTATCTCAGCCGTGCATGATGGGTAAAGCGATCTCTTTCAGTCAAAGTTCATGGGTTACTGTGTGTTTGTGTGTGAACCCGCCCCGTGACGGCCATACTGGTAAAACCTGAGCAGTTACATGGGCATCAGTATAAAAGAAAGGGATACATAAAACCAGGGGGCAAAACTATGGTGAATTCTGACAGACATTTTGATCAAAATGCAATTTTTTACCACAGACAAGGTATTTAAAAATACAGCCTTTATACATTGTTTTCTCAATCAAAACATTTTTGCAGCAAACACACGAATCTTGCCAGAGACACATTTGCCCATTGATAATATGGATAAAAGCCAAAGTGACTGAGAAGGTGTGTGTGTATGTGTTTGTGTTTGTGTGTGTGTGTGTGTGTGTGTGTGTGACGATGCCTGGGGATCCCAAGTGTGAAATTTATCAGATGACAGGAAGGACAGCCCGCCTTGCCATTCCCCCTCAGCCATGTTATGATGTTATTTTCACAATCCAAGGCCAAGCATGTAGCATGGGGCTGTGTGATGCTCTGTGGATTAGGACTCTATGTGTGATCAAAAGGTCGCTGGTTCAAATCCCTTGGGCAACAGAGTGATTTCACATTTGAGCCTCTGAGCAAGGCCCTTAACTCCCAATTGCTCCAGGGGATGGCTGACCCTAACCCTCCCGAAGGTGTCCCTGTGGTGTGTGTGTTTCACAGAGGGCAGGTGTCCACGCTATGCTGCTATCTGTCTCTAGCAGGTGTTTTTATCCAAAGAGATATGCAGCTGATTGTTTTTAATTTCCTCATTTCACTTTTCTATGGATCTCCTCAGCGATCTTCTCTTTCAGATCCATAAAAACATCACTGGGTTGTCTGATCTGTCCACCGAGAAGTCCATCACAAGGACACGTACACACACCCAGCACACACTTGTAGGGTAAACATATCTTTATGGGGACCGCTCATTCACACACACACGTGCACACACACACATAATTAGAGACACCGATTCATCCTAATTCCATGTTTCTGGACTGCAGAAGGAAAGTGGAGCACCAGGTAGAAGCCTGTGAGAACCAAGACCATCAATTTTACGGATACACTGTTGATTAGCGTAATGGTGCCGTTCCAACAGAGAACTGGCTTATTTCTGCTATACCTTAGCCTTTGGGAAAATAAGGTATAAACTGATGTTTGCAAAAAAATAAAAATAAATGTTTCTGTACAACTGAAAATCAGTTTATCAGCTTAAGTCATTCAATGACAGGAAACAGAATGGAAGTAATAGACTCCGTTTACATAAAGCACTCTAACATATATGTGCTCCGTGATTACGTGCTGTCATCTATAGAGCTGGTCCACATGTTAAGAAATGGCACATAACCAAAATGTAGGCTCAAATATAATCATATGAACCCTGGCCAGATGCCACGCAGGTCTCCATAAACAGCTGGTCATCATGATAAAGTGGAGCAGCAAACCCCCGAATCCCATCTTGTGAACCAAGAGATAGTCACAATGATACTTTCCCCTTCAACAGAATTCGTTTTAATAAGGAAAACCAGCAAAAAGCGTCCTTTTAATTCTAGCAAAGCGGCGAGGCGGCAGGTCGGCAGACCCAGGCACTGGATCACGACAGGTCTAGCAGATGTATGCCTTTTCCGTAGCGCTCAGATGCTGCACTGCTACCGAAATCTGGATGTATTTTGGCGACATAATCTCTTCTTAATATATCGCTAATGCGACACCCCTGCGATAGATCCATCTTTACAAGTAAAGTTTGAAAACATACTTGATCACCATGGATTAAGACTTTATCTTAATTGTATATCCCTTAAATCTTCATTTACGGTATTTTACTGTAAAAAATCCCTTTTAAAATCCCATCTCTTTTTTGATAGCGCTCAATTCGGAAGAAAGTTGTTTTAAGCATGTTTCACTGTTACTAGACACACTTACTCTTGACAGACTTCTTCCAGTAGGTGTAATGCAGAAACGAACTAGACCACGCATAAAATTACCAACAGCAGGATTCAGGAATGAAACTGTAACTGGATGGACACAACACGGTTACAGAGAAATTTAACATAATACAGCAACAATGACAAACACTGCACGTAAATTTTGCAATTTACGGTCTCTAACCGCTGCAATAACATATTCAGTGAGTATCAATATACATAAAATTACAGAAACTGTGCTTTTGATATATTTACTGTAGGTGCACCCTTAGCGAGTAAATGGACGCGTAAGAGGAGCGCAGCTAATAATTTAGTGCCACAGGCATGCGTTCTGCTCGAGTACCTAACCGGAAAACACGCCGGATCGGCCACTATGGGAACACTGAGTAAAATCCCTTTGCGATTTAAAAATGTTCAGAAAAATGTACCTTATTGCCGGGAAGAAAATACGACAAATCGATCACAAAATTACCAGATATATTCAGAAGAAAACGGTAATGCATTACATAAAACAGGCATGCATATTTCCAAAGGGCGTTGCGTCCCGTAACATGTTTATCATGACATCTAACCAGCTACTTACCTTTCGAAATGGGATGGATGATGCTGTAGCGTCTTAAAGCAGTCGAAATTATGAGATGTAAAGCTTCAACTCCGCTCTAACATTAATATTGACAGCCAACCTGCCGTTTCCCTCCAGCAAGATCAAGAATATCCGCCTCTTTAGTTTGATCTTAGTCGTTTTTTCTTACCCGGCGTTTTTCTGCAAATTCAATAAGGATGAACTAAATACAGAAGTCAAACGGCCTGCTGTTACTGACATGCAGGCATTTCTCCGTGCTTGACACTAGCAGCGGACGGGCAGGTGTGTCGCCAGGAGGAGGGACCGCCGGCCACCAGGGTCCAGCACATTGCATTTATAATAATAAACACGCGTGTCTTTCTATATCTGCCTGACTGCCCACTGACCTAGCGCTCATAACCCGAGTTTATTCGGCGGAGCTGATATTTCGACTTAAACCGCGGTGGTCAGCATGGTTTTTAGTCCAGACCCTGTGACCGAGCCGGGTTACGGATGCGCTGGCACCGGCAAGCAGCGCCGCGCAGCGCCTCGTTTCCCGAACTGTCCTCGGCGAGCGCCACCCAAGCCGGATGAAGGCAGGAAAACGTCACCGTCCATGAAGGTTATTCAATGACGAGTGGGGACCAGTCTCATTAAAACAAAAAAGATAATTCTAAGAATATAGCCGCAGACGCCTTAACTAATTTACATGTGTTCGAGCAAAAGGATCTGTTAAGAGAATGATATTTGTGTGCTTGTAGGCTACAATATATAGTATATGCTGTGCTTTAAGTAATTATGAAATGACATCATAAACGAAGACGGAAATAGCTCGTTCTTTGCCCTGTTGCCAGATGCTAAAAGTCACCTGCACGCAGTGCCATATAGTCGAGACCTCTGTGAGTCATGATTTATTATCAATAGAATAATGCTGTGTGATCCGTTGATGATTTCAAGTGTACTTTATGATTTCTTATGCATTTTTTTTTATATTTCTGGTGTTTGTTTCTGTAGGCTGTTATATAACAAAAAGGGCAACGGTCACACAGGATTATGTATAAGGTTTTATAGCTCTTGTAGGCAGCTTCTTGAGTGTACTAAACAGACAGTGAACGGGACTTATTATAGGTCAGTACTACTCCGGTAGTTTACTGAAGTGTGTCATTTAAATAGACAGTGTCTTTCTGCCGACTGATTCTGGTTTACGGGGCCTTCAGGAAGGAACATCTTCCATTACCATGCTGGGAGAGGAACAATCTCTTAAAATGTGACAGCATTGAAAACAGAAGAAAAGGCTCCTCCTGGATGGCTGGAGGACTTGATGGTATAATATGCTGTCACACCCTGGTTCCACAAATCACCGTGATTTTTTTAAGCTTTATCTGCATGGCAATTGTTATGCCTCTTGACAACATACCAAACAGCACACATGCTTTTCCCCGAGGTATGTCTAGGCTGAATATGCGTTTCCATGCTGTTTCCATGGTTTTTTTATGGCTTGTTTCCATGGTATCTTCATAACCTTCCCTTTGAAATGGGCACCTATAGTCATTACACATTGACAGAATTCGCTACCAATATAATATAATCAAGAAAACTAACTAACTCTAATGTCATTATGTATAATTCAGGCAATTCCTATGGGCCATACGGTAATGTGTGAGAACCAAATGCTTCTTGGGGAAATTTTAGCCGAAACCAGCATATCTCCTTATTGGTTGGTATTGTGGGTTTCTGTATTGTCTGGTACAGCTTGTGCTACAGTACAATTACGTAATTCAAAGCCAAATCAGTATATCTACTTACCAGTTCTATTCAATTAATAGATTTCAAATGCAGTCTTGTAATAGGTAACAGTGTTTCACTTCCAGTTAGTAATGTTTTCAAATAGAATTTACTAAAAAACGAATGTGCTCTGTAATTATAAATGAAACTATATATGCAATGCATGTGGGTTGCATGGTGGCGCAGCGGTTAACACTATTGCCTCACAACCAGAAGGTCAGGGCATTCGCTCCCTGGGCTGGGTGTTGGACCTTTCTGTGTGGAGTTTGTGTGGGTTTCCACCAGGGGCTCCGGTTTCCTCCCACAGTCCAAAAGTGTGCACGGTGAGTTAATTGGTGACTCTGAGTTGGTCCCGTGAGTGTGTGTGCCCTGTGGTGTGTTCACGACTGCCCAGGGTTGGTTCCTGCCTGTGCCCATTGTTCTTGGGATAGACTCTGGGAGCCCAATTGGGATTGAGTGTTTAATATGTATCTTGCTGTTTAAATCTTTTTTCTTCGGTAGTTTTATTTCAGTCATGTCCCGGAAAAGTAATAATAACATATAATAATATTAATATTAGCAATAGTAATAATAACATTTAATAATAACATTAAATATTTTACATATATTTCAGTAACTTGTGAAGGGAAGTTAGATGTCTTCCTAATGTTGATAAAGAGATAAAAAAAAAAATCCGGCAGTATCTCCACTGGGGGGAAAGCGCCCCCAGTGGGAAAGCGGGTTACTGCATGATATTCTTCGCTTGTTTCCCTTCCTGACTCACATCGTCAGGTAATGCAGTAGAAAATGCTGATCAGGCTTATTTGCTATCGGACAATATTAATATCTTTTTATAACATTTAAATTGAAAACATGGCTGTAACAATATGTTTATGGACAGCTTTGTTGTCAGTCTTAGTCGAGATCGGTTTTTTTATAATAAAATAAAAATCCCTGCTCACGTTTCACTTTTACCCCCTCCTCGTCATAATCGGAGGAGGAGGCGGTGTTTGACGTGGCAGCGATTCCGGACGTGACACAAGCCTCCACGTCATTGCACATAATTTTGATAAGAAGTATTTTTGCACCATATCTTTAGCATCTCCTGCTTGAGTGACGGTGTAGAACTGTTGCATCGCGGATCTTGTGCGTTTTTAGAAAATGCGGCTGCTTGTTTTAGCCGGCCTTCTACACTGTTTGTCTGCCTACGAGGTAGATCACAAGAAGCTGGAAGGTCTGGCAAAAGCGAAGGTGGAGGTAAGATCTGTACCCTTATCCATAGGCTTCATCTTTACTTGAACAATTCTTATCGAATTATGATAGATATCCTGACCGGAAAGCTTGTGTCGTATTGATATTGTTCTCATTACTACGAAAGACTCCCTTTTACTGAAACATGATGATAGAAGTATTGCTTAGTTTCCAGAACTGGGCACAGGCGCCCCTGGTTTGTGTTGCGGCGTCACTCACAAAGATACCCAGTAAATCAACCAGCATCTCCTCCCCGAATATGCCCTGAAAGCATAAGCATAAGCATAAAACTCATTTACTCTCTCCATTTTACCTGCACCATTTACTGTCGGCTAATTGTTTCGTCTTTGTAGAAGTCCTGGCGAATAACAGTTTTTCATGGAAAACAGGACATAATTTTAAAAAGTGTGGTTATTTGTAGGCCTGCTGTATGTTTTGCACAAAAACGTGAAATGCATCCCTAGTCCGAATCCCATTATCCACTAAAAAGGATATTCTTAAATACACACAGTTTCGGCTATTTGAATTGAACGATAATCGCAATTAAATTCTCATATGCATTCGGCACTACATTCAAAGAGCAGAGGTAAGTATTGGTATGGGATTGCGTGCCTGCCCCTTTATTCCCTGTTGATCCTGATGAACATCTTTAGCAGAGTATGGGGAACGTGAAATTTGAGTCCATGTAACATAGAATTTAGTGATTAGTTGTTATTGTTGACACACAGTGCACCATAGCCTATGTGACATGCACGGGCAGTGGTGGAATGTAACAAAGTATTTGTACTTCGTTACTGTACTTAAGTACATTTTTACGTATCTGTACTTTACTTAAGTAAAAATAATAATGAATACTTTTTATTTTACTCCATTACATTTTGCGGCAATTATCTGTACGTTCTACTCCACTACATTTCTACAATTTATGCCGTTAGGCGTTACATTTTATGAACACAATTTCCTCAAAATCTTGCATGAAAAAATAGTTAGCCTATTGTGTTCTGGCGTTGTTTGCCATTTCCTACCAATCAGGTGGCTTCATTAGCTCCAATGATGGCAGAGCGCGCGTCAATTAGCAGCAGGAGCTGGTAGACTGGCTTGATTTCAAGAAGAGACATTCAACATGGCACCACCCCACCACTAGTGTTTGGTTACTGTTGTGTTTCCCTTTTCCTGCTCTTAACAGATGGGTTGAATAGTTTTGCAAGTACATAAATGATTTAAAGATATGTCATGTCCAGATTGGTTTATCTTAATGGTATATTAGTGGGTAATACCTAGTAGATAACTTGTAATCCACATAATTCTAAGTTAGGGTACACACAGTATTGCAGAGTGCACGCACAATAAGCACACCAAACTTTCCAATACACATACTGTATAGTTGCTTGTAATTATTACGAGCAATGAAATCGGTAGAGGCGTAAGTCAGTATATCTACTATTCTTTTACAAAATGGCACACCCCAGACGTTGAGACAAACCATTGTGTGAGTACTTTTACTTAAAAAAATACTTTAAAGTAAATTTAAAAGCAAGTACTTAGTACTTTCATTTAAGTAAGATTGTTGATGTAGCACTTCTACTTTTACTTGAGTACATATTTTGCAGGATATTTGTACTTTTATTTAAGTACTAAACTTCAGTACTTCCACCACTGTGCACGGGGCAGCTAATTCAGCACCCGGGGAGCAGTGCTTGGGGGCGGTACCTTGCTCAGGGTACCTCAGTGGTGCCTTGCTGGTCGGTGATTCGAACCTGCAATTTTTCAATTACAAGTGCTCTTCCCTAACCATTAAGCCACCACTGCCCATAAAAATAGCAGAAGTAATGCACACTTATTCTTCCTTTGAGTGAGTCCACAGTTGTTTGTTTCATTCGGGAATGTACAGTTATCAAGGGGCAATGAAATCTGGCCAGAGACAACATTCTCACAGTCATTGTTTTTTTTTTTTTTTTTTTTTTAATAAATCAAAACGTTTGTTTCAAGTACCGGGTCCCACATTTGGTGGCTTGCTACAAATGTTCATGTTCATATTTTCTCTTCAGACCTGTGGAGGGTGACAGCTCAACCGGCTGAGGGAGGTAATCTATTCATCTGCTCACTCTGTTTTAGTGTTTCTAAGAGCTGCAAATACATAGAATATAATAGATTCTTGCATGCATTTTTATATGTAATGAGAAATTTGAGCTTAAGAGTTGCCATTGTCACCTGTTTGACGTCTTACCTGTATAAAGTCTTTTTGTATGTAAACCTTCCATTGTTCTCTATCCAACCATCCATCCTTGGCATCCATTGATCCTGAAAAGGGTTTTGTCCATGTTTGGTCTTGCTCTACTAAATTGAACGGACTTTGTATTGTAAAATGCAGTCATAATTTTGAGTTTTATTCTGATTTTTCCTCCTGTAGGTCAAAGCCTTTGTGACTCAGGACATCCCTCTATAGTATCCTTCCTGCCAGGACAGCAGTACACGTTCACTCCTAAGAGCTTAATAGAGGTCTCTACAAATGTATATCATGTAATCCTTGTCATATTGTGTAGATCCATGGAGTAATTACTCTGTGATGGACTGGAATCTGGCTGTTTTGCTGTATAACGATCAAAGTTACTTGAAGAGTGGTTATTTAAAATGTAGAGAGATTAGTGGAATTTCCTTTCCATATGCCATATAAACTGGATTATGGCAATATCTCACTGCCCTACTAACATGTAAGAGCTGGGCTGTCCTGTGTGCATTGTCCAATAGAAACTCTTATTCTGACTGCAGTCTGGGTTGTGTCTTGCAAAGTTTTGAGGGATGCAGTTTTTATTATGGTTATTCCCTTGACTTTTGATCCAGCCACAACTTGGTGATGAAGCACATTCCAGGGGCTGATCCTGAGCTTGTTCTGCTCAGCCATTACTATGAAGAACTGGATGTAAGAATTTCACATTCTCTGATGTTCTGGTACCAAAACCTAATGACTAGCAAGTCAACATGAAGACCAGGGCCGGTATGCATAAAACTTCCTAAGAATGGTCGTACACTTGGACTTAAGAGTTTAATAAATCTTAGCAAAAAGTAGGACATAAGAGCATTGTATAAAGCTGCTAAAAGTAACTTTCAGCAAAGTCTAAGCCCAATTCCTAAGTGCTGACGGAGCCAGCATTTAAGTGTCGTGAAATGAGGACTACAAATAAAATCCCGCCCCAAATACTGAGTTCAACCAATAGATGAGCTGCACGGTGAATATATTAGTGACATTAAACCGTTAATGTAGAGCTTTATATAACATACCTTTAATTGGTTGTACGAAAATCTACCTAGTACATCACCAATCAATTTCCACTAATAGATGCATACGTTGTATAAATTATGGGTCAAACGCACAGTTTGTGCTTAAATGGAAGGAGGTAGTGCGAGGAAAGTTTGCACGGACAAAAAAAAAAGCTTAGGAAGCTATTGCAAGCTCCGTAAATGCTCCGTCACCTCGGACAAGGCGTTCAGCAGAGGAATGTGAAAAAAGGTGGTATAATGTTTTATCGACCTCGCGAAAGGAAATCAGTTTTTAAAGCAAGAATGCAAGCTACATGTTTGTGTCATTACTTATATTGCTCTTATGACCCTCGCTATAATAGATGATGATGATAATAATAAATAATTATTATATTTTTCCAGTTGCCAAAAACGTAGCATCATATCACCTTCAGTTCAACTGTAAGTGCATTTTTAGGTGACGTAGGAGATTGTATCCGGTTCCAAATTAGATTGGTAACAAAAAGAATGCCCTCATGATCGAGCCTGTAGGCTACCTTCTTATCAATTCATTATTGTCGTACGTCTGCAGGACGTCCTTTCTTTGACGGAAAGTGCGCGGTCTCCGTCTCGGTGCGCGTAGTGCAGTTGCCATCATTCAACTTCTAACTGGTTTAGGAGTCCCCTCCAGCTCTCTTAAATAATTTAGGAGCTGAGACCAAGTCTTAACACTTAAGAATGTTTATGCATTCCACTTATTCTTAAGTCTGGGAGTAGGAGAATAATCACGTCACTCTTACCCCTGATTTACACTGGATGCGTATCCGCTGCGGTGCGACTGCGCTGCATTCGCATTCCGTCCGAGGCCGTCCGCCAATTCACACTGGACGCGTTTGTGGTCCGTATCTGATCCAGCGCGCCGCTGGTTTGCAAGATCACATGACCACGGGAGAATAACATTTAACATAACATTTATCTATGTTTCTATGGATAAAATAATGTGCCACTCCCATGTAGGTTACTGAACACTTTATTCGGAGTTTACAAGTACTTCACGGTACAGGTTACTCATTAAAAATCAAGTTTTTACATAGTTAATTGGAAGATTCAACTCTCAAAACTTCTGAAATTTCAGTCCACGCCTTCTCTTTTCTACTGTTGTCCTTGTAAAAAGGATCTCTGGGGTCGTAGACAAATCGGTGTTTCTCCACTTCCAAAATTAATTTTTCCTCGTCCATGATGTGACGGAGAATTGGCGCATGTGCTCTGTGTTGCGTTCTTGATCCGTATCTGTCAAAAATAGACTTGATGTGCATCTCGACGGACTGCCGGACGTGTGACGGAACAGACGTAGCGGAGACGCAACGCAGCGGTTCTGGTGTAAACTGATGCATTGACTTTATTGGCGGCGATTGCCTGCGGCTGCCGTGTCGGAAACGCACCGCAGCGGATACGCATCCAGTGTAAATCAGGGGTTAGAATTGTGACGCATTTAAGACTGAAATTTTACTCTGAGAAGTTTTATGCATACCGACCCAGGTCACATTCCCATGTCAACTTAGATTCAGGATCCAATTTCCTTGCTTCAGCTGAAAATCAAATGGTGGTCTCATCTTGTTACAATAATGAATTATCTTTCAGTAGATACATGTATGTGTTCAGAATCCTAAAACGAGCATGTGCTCTACAACAGTATATTTCCTACTACTTGAAAAGTGTTGCAGATGGTTGCATCATGTTGATGTCTCTCACATTTCACACCCAAAGCGGATCCCTCTGTCAGATATGACTCGCTCTGAAATCAACGAACTGTTGGGGTCACTGGGGTTCTACAAGAAGGCCCAGCCGGACGACCCGGTTCCTGAGGAGTTCCAGTTCTCCCCAGCGAAGGACAGCCCCTGGCGAGAGAAGCAGGAATCTCATGTTCAGTCCTCCCACACCACGTCTCCGGATTCAAAGATACCCCCTGAGACTTCAGCTCCTGAATCTGGCCATTCAGACTTGTAGCCCAAATCTGAGGGGTCTGTGAGACCCCTGAACCTTCTCACACACCTATGTTGAAACTTAAATCTTTTCAGTGCACACAAAAGGATGTTGCTTGTTGCTCATGTGATTCTGTCACCCTCTGCCTTCCAGAGAACATAATGATGCCCTGGGCCGCAAATCAAAACGATTGGCCAGGAGCTGATGATGCGTGTTTTGGTGGGCAGAAACCAGACTCATCTGAGTGAGACAAGCAGAGGTGTGTCTCAATAAAATCACCAAAACTCCACATTGTGTCCTAGAGTTTAGTACATCAGCTAAAAATGGTAAAGAAAAATAACCAATGATCAGCATTCACTTCCTTTTTTTACATGGTTTAATAGTTAATTCACATTAACATGTGAGGTACAGACTGGATACCATAGCGTGCTTTGGCCGGTAGCTGGAGGGTGTGTTAGCTTATGGGAGTCCTCAGGCTGCTGAATCCATCTGCATGGCTGCCTGGGTGCAGAGGGCCACCCTGCTGCAGCTTAGCGCTGCATGTCAGCCGCAGTGGAGGAACATCAGAAAGCTCCAGTCAAAAAACACTAACCGCTCTACAACCTTGCTCATAATTCAGGCCAATTGCTAATCAGAAATATGAAGTGAACCAATTTTAAAAGGCATTTCTTTTTTTAGCCAAGCAAAAATATCATCCTTCTCTCTGGCAGAACTGAAGCCCATGTTAAAAAGCTTAATAAAGTGGTGCAAGGTGCCGCAAACAGGATGGTGGAAAGCAAAAAAATGAATAGCTTGTTGTTCCCTGAGAGCCTATTTTTAGTTCACACAGACATAGGGAGCAGTCTGCTGAATTGAAAATGGCACCACTGTTATTAATGTTGTGCTTAAGCTAAATCCAGTCTTTTGTGAGCTAAAGGCTGTAGAGATAAACATTTTTTCATCCTTCAAAAAAAACCTAATAAACCATACATAATTTAAGACATAAAATACTCTAAAAGGATAGTGCCAGCTAGTAATTAATACAAGATTACAATTTAACATGGCAAGACAAAATATACAGGATACAAGCAAGCATGGCCAGGAGAGGGCGACAGAGACAGGTAGCTGCATGTCTATAAAATCATACAAGAGATTACGTGTGTGGGTGTGCAGCTGGCCATAGGTGATGTTGGCTGATGAAAGTGGTCAGGACAGGGACCCTCTCTCAGGGACCCAGGCTAGGCTTGGGGGGGGGGGGCAAAGAAGCTGTTATAGTGGGTCGGGATGCATGTGACACCCACATCTTATAAAGCAGGACTGCCTCTACCCAAACTGCTGCTTTTTAAAACAAAATCTTCCAGAATCTTCCATGACATAACTTTAACCAGTACTTTTTTTTATTGAAAGCAACTTAATTTTTCCTCAAACACAGTTACTGCTGACTGGTATTTCTCAAATACAGCAGGGTCCTTCCTGGTCCCTCTGATAGATGTTCTGGAATTTGTAAACACAGGAAACGTCTGCCCTTCAAATATTTTGGATGGACACAATGTTAAACAGAGAAATGAAGCCTAAAAACGTAGACATCTACCCTGTGTTCTCTGTTAAGAACAGGTCTATTCAGATAAAATCATACACTGAACTATGGTCAGGGTTAAAAGCTCTGCAAAAGGCAACAAATATGTACTAGTGCCAAAACAACTATATAAGAACCAGTCAAGATAAATTCTCTCTCCATACCAGTGCTTATAAATTTAAATCTATTTAAATAGAAATAATAAAATTATATCATCTTGCAAAAGAAAACAATTTCAAGTAAATGTGTGGTAAAAAGCATGCTGGTTTTATAATGTATATAAAAGAAAGCGTACCAAATTGGACATTTAAGCTATATAAAACTCATATTTTATGATCATCGGCATTATGTCTAACCTCAAATCCAAGAGGATCATAAAAACTCATTTTATATAAAGCACTTGGTTTCAGGAGAATATAAAAGTTTTATAACATAGATTTTAGTTTTGTCATGTTGATGGTCAGTTGTGTAACTTATGCATTCAATAATGCAAAATTCCTAAAGCTTACAACTTGCTCAGAAAAATACAGGTGTGAAACTTCTGTTGCCAAGTCTGCTGTGGTTGCATGCTGTGCTTTTTGCCATGTCATTCGACAGGTGTGTGAACTCCCGCTTTTACCCCCCCTCTCTGGAAGGGAGAACAGGACACACCAAATGGGTTGGAAACCAGCTCAGACAAGTGAAATGGCCCTGTGACCCCCCCCCCCCCCCCCCCCCTTCCCGTGCCACGGCTAATTACACTACACAGAGGTGCAGTTTCTCAGTATTTATAAGTCGTCTTCCATGCTCGGTGAGATCTGCAGATCCTGCAGCAGGTAACGAAAAGGGGAACAGAGGACACAGTCAGCCAGGTGTATCAGCCAGGAGGCTGCGGGTGCAGAGGGGTAACGGGGTCGTCTGCAGAGGAACTTTCACTGTTTCCATGCCATAGAAAGCGGAGGGCAAGGCGAGGGGTCAGAGATCAGAGTAGGCCCGTTGGGTCATCTCAATTCTGCGCAGATGGTTGACCAGCGACTGCACATAGGTGAAGACACACTTGGGATCTGGTTTCTTTCCCATGATCATCATATCCTCCACCTCCAGCAGGGGCATACAGTTAGCAAAGGCCCTGGGCAGTGGGGGAGCAAAGGAAGAATCAGTGTAAAGATATAAAACAACAGTGCAAATGCTTTCTCTCAGTATAACGCGTGTCAAACACGCTTATCTACCTACCTCTCATACATACTACCCGAATATTTCAGCTCATATACACCACAGGAGCGGTTTTCAAACATTCTATTCAATAAAACAACCAATGTTCGAAAGAAGCCATTAGCCACTAGCTGTGTACATACATTGCCACTATTGTGGGGCTTTATAAAAATCTGTGACCTAAGTTAACTTGTCTGAAGTGTGATCTACATTAGTGACCACTAGATGTCAGCCTGCAGTTTTAAATCAGCTTAAAATATTACAGAAGGCCAGGAAATAGCATAAAAAAGAAAAGTACTGAGGAACATTTGTGATTATAATATTTATTCAAGAAAATGCAGCAAGGAAACAATTTTTCTTCTGAATGCAAAATGTAACATTTAGACTGAAGTTTTTTTTACGTGAGTTGGTCGCATTTGAGATAATTAATCTGTTTAATCTCCTTGGGACTTCGCTATCTGCTGTTCCAGCTGTTCACCCAGAAGACAAACACAAGAAGTCTTGATAACATTTCAAAGTAAACAAAAAGGGGACAATTCAGATCAATATAAGTTAACAGCACATCCTGTTTCAACAGGAAACTGGGGAGCAGCACGTTTTCTTGCCCTCTAAGGCTGAATTGGTGAGAACAGAGCCCTTCAAAGGCATCGCTTGCTGTCTGGCCATGTTTGGGGTGGCTGAGTCTGGCACAATGTCTGCGCCATCCAGAACAGTGTGCCCCACTGACACTGGCACCGTGCCCACAAACCACTGATTGCAGTTCAGTATGGCTTCACAGCGGAATTCCTGTCCTGAAAGCGACTAATTTCACATTTTTATTCTTTTGTCCATTTCTACAGCTAGGTATTTTCACAGAAAATATTCCAGTTAAGATTCCAGCTTCAACAGCCTGGCTTTTTCTAGACCTATGTCCTCCCTAATTCCTCTCTTAGCACACAGAGATCCAGAACAGTTCCTTCCTGTCATCAGCTCTGACGTCAAGCTGATCTGCACGCTGACACATTTAAAGCTTCAGTATCTCTCTTAGCTGAAAGCTAACTTTATACACTGTCAGAGCTCTGCTGTTTTGCCATCTGAACAACTCAACATTTTGGCTGTTATTGTAGCACATTTTATATATACACCAAAAAAGTGAATCCCCTGATGATACCACTCACTCTCATGCACGTCATCTCAAACTTCCAGCCCCAATGTGCCCCATCCCCCTCATTCTCTCACCATTTGGCGTAATTTTGGGCGTGGGGTGGGGGCAGCACTCTAGGAGTTTTTGGTTTTGACCAGGCCTTTCTGTACCAGGCCCTTGTAGAACTCCTGGAGGTACGTGTACACGCACTTCCAGTCTGGCTCACGCATCCGCACCATGTCCTCCACGTCCAGCAGCTGGGGGCAGTCCACCAGCTTCCTGCTCTCGGCCACGAGTGGGTGGGGGTTGGGTTGGGTGAAAGAGAGAAAGACAAAGGGGCGGAAGAAGGTGGAAAGAAGTAGACAGATAGCAGATCAGGAGAAGGGAAGGAGACAATAAGAAGGCAAATAGTACAGGAAAAGTATAAATAGTAATGGAAGGTAAAGAAGGGATATCAACAGGACAGAGAGAGTGAGACGGTCACAGCAGTGAGCAGCCAAATGAAAAAACAAACATAAAAGTGAAGAGAGAGAGAGAGAGAGACAAAAAACAAAAACATTACATTCTCTGTGCTTAGACCCATCCATGAGCGAACATGCTTCATGAACAAGCCGGTATTAAGTGAACACACACAGGCACAACAAAATGTCAAATGGAACACAAACTGCGTCCATTTCAGATTTTTTTGTCCTCTTTTCAGGGTGCACTGGGACATGAGACTTAGACAACACACCTCTGCTTTGTTTTGCACTGCACAAAGCAAAAAGGCAAGAACAAAGGTTCACCAGACTATCATACAATAAGACGATACACAGGAGTGGGGGGGTTGTGTAAACATGGTCTTTGTGCAGGACACACTGAGTGTAGGGTGCTGGGAGTGCCCAAGAGGTTCACGGTGAGTTGGAATGTGTGAGAAAAAGAAGAGAAAGCAAAAGAGATCCTACTCCTAAACATCAAGTGTGTCTATACAACATTTTTTTGCTAACAGCTAATAGACCAATGCTTAAATACTACAGGTAAGATCTTCACTTGTTGAATTCAAGTAACATTTTTAAATTCCCAGTTAAATCCCAGGTTATTGTCTGACCAGAATATTCCTGAGTGTCTGTGGGATGAATTGCTATAGCTGCAGATTTGCCTTTGAGAACCGTATCCCAAAGAGAGTTCAGTTTTCTGAAGCTTTCCTTAAATGGATCTCAGCAGCCAGGTTCTGTCTCAGGTAAATGTGAGGATATGAAGATATGGAGCAGAGTGTGCATGCAAGTGAGAGGTGAGGACATCCAGTTGTCATCATCATCATCAAAGCTGAAGAGCAGGTACACAGATCAGCTGCAGATGCGTCAAAGGTCATGGTCAGAGCTTCCAAGAAGAGAGAAACAGGAAAGGCTGGAGGGGACAGAAAATATGGAGGGAGGAAGGATGCACTGTAATGTGCCTCACTTGAGCGACCTCTAAGAGGCCATGGAGCCACGTGGGTGGAGGAGTCCTTTAGAACGAGGCTGCTAACATTTTAGCACAAGCTGGGAGTCCAAGGGGAGGGGGGTCATCCGAGGTAAACAAAGAGAAAGCCTGGGCAGAAGGAGCAGGGCAATGAGGGAAGTAGGCAGTGCAACAGGACACATGAGCCACCCTGACAGAGTGGAAAGGATGAGGTTACTTTGGTCCACAGAGGATAATGGACGTCACTTCTAATGTGTCTGAGGTCTTTGATCACTTTAGTAAGGACTGCTAGGTTGGGCGGGTCCAGCAGATAGAATAAAGTGCTTTTTACAGCCAGGATGTTTAGCACTGGCTTTTCAGGACACTTGACCTTACCTACTCAAGCTGCTATACTGTAAGGTTAAAAACCCTCCAGTATGATAGTACTCTCAATATCCCAGGGATCTAGATTCAGTTACTGGACATAAATCATTGTTTGGCACTAGAGAGAGGGCAATTAAATATGAATAGAAGGTTGGTCGGTTCAGACAGAACGGAAGTTATGTGAGAAAGTATGTGAATGCAGGACTTGGGGAAGAACACCTAGAGTCAGTGCTAGACCCTCTTCTTCCTCCACTAGGCTGCTTACCAAACTGTAAAGCAGAATAGGCCTACATTCTGACCTCTGCCTTTCTTCAGAGAAACGCCTTCTGTGTAAATGATGGCGCATGTGATGGGTAGGGCAGGGAGAAGCTCGCCTTGGCTGCTAGTGATGTTTAAATCTGAATCTTCTGGTGATAAGAAACAGGTCTGAGATGCTAAATATGAACTGCATGAAAATTATGTTCCACAAATCCTCTGTAAAAAACCAGCACCAACCACACTGCACACTGCTGCCGATTGTCTTTAGAAGGTCAAGGGCCAGGAATGGCACTGTGGTGAAACGCAGGGTGGCACGGTGGTGCAGCCGTTATCCCTGTTGCCTTACACCCCCAGCACATGTGTGGAGGTCTTGTTCTCTTTTTCTCTGTTGGCTAGCTGGCATCTCTGAATTGCCCATAGTGGGAAATGACTTTGGGAATGAACTTTCCGTTTACCGGTGGCATGAGCGAATGGAATGATTTATAAATGAAAGAACTACTGACCACATAAATAAGAGAGTGAATGACTGTAGACATTGGTCTGTACTCACTCTGCCGTGCTGAAGGCCACCTCAAAGTTATGCCTGCGATTGCTGGGGCTGAGGGCGGAGTAGTCAAAGGCTTCGGGAAAGAAGTTATGCACCAGGGCACAAAAGGCCATTCCATCACTCCAGCTGGAGGAGAAGTTCTGAATATCTACATTCTACAGGGAGACAAAGGAGGAAAATTAATGAGAAGAAGCTTAACACAGGGAGGGAGAGAGAATCAGTAGACAGAGAGGATAATGGACTGACAAAATGGCACAGCTTCTAGAGATATGTATACTAAAGAGCATAGTTTGGAAGAAGCAGAAGCAACTGCACATATAAAATAAAATGTGAGCATGCTAGTTAAAATCTATGCTGGGCAGAACATAAGATTCAGTAGAGCTACGTCTGACATCAGAGAAGCACCAAAATGACCTCAGGTTAAAAGTGCCCAGCATCACCTGCACTCGACACCTCACAGCAGCTAATGTAAGCACCTGCTCCCAGCTCAGCATAGTAGATGACGCCCCACCCTCTCACCTCATAGGAGCGGGTCTTTGCCCGGCACCAGTCCAGCAGCATCTGCTTGATGGAGTTGGCGTTGGGGACCCCGAAGCTGGTGGAGCGCTGCACCCGAGCCACGGCCGTGTTAGCAGGCCTGTGTGCGGAAAGAGCTATAAGTGGCAAACCAGCACCCATGGACACGAGTGGAATTAACAAAGACATGATCTTTATCTCAAATAACAGCACATCAGAGAGAGGCATGGAGTTCGGCTCCCTTCACACTCATACCCTCCACTCTCCTTCTCCAGCTTTTCGATCATGGCACGGCGTGACTGCGCAGCCGAGGTCTTAGGCAGCGTCTGTGCCCTCATCAGCTCCTTACGACGCTCTGCCTGCCTGCGCTCCTGTGCAGATGTGTCCTCGCGGTCGAACACGCTGAGTGAGGGGGGAGGCAGCATGAGTCTGCTGTATACAGTGCGTGTTTCACTGTAAGTGAAACACACACTGAAGACAAAATGAAGCTCTTCGGGTTCTCACCTGCCCACTTTCATGGAACTAGAAGAAGCATAGCTGTAGGACTTAGTCTGGACTGTTCCCTCTGTGACAGAGGAATCAGATTAAAATGAATCAAATTAACTTAAATATTTATTGCCAATACCCATTTACTCATTACAATACAAGACATTATTCAGTAACATTTCATATCCTCAATGATACGTTATCTGTGTCAGTTCTCTGTGAGGAGGATACTCACTGTCTGATTTCTGGACGTAGTTGGCCTCCATGACGGTGCTGCGGGACGACTGGCGACCATCATCTAAAGAGAGAAAGAAAGAGATAGACAATCTGTGACAAGGACTCATGAGTTCCCTCCTCGGTGAATGAGCTGATGTTACACCCTGTTTCGCTACATCTGTCAGAGAGCCACGGTTTCTGATGCTGGGAAGCTTGGGACTCACTTGACTGGGCAAAGCGGTCAGTCTTGGTGACCTGGTGGAGGGAGGAGCCATCAGCTGACTTCTCCACCTTCTTTACCACCACCTCACCGGCGCCCCCTGGGCGCCTGCCCTTCTGGGGTTGCTCCTCACGCTGCTGCCGCAGCTCCTGCAGGCGTGACTCCCTCTCCCGCTCCCGCTGGTCTGCAGTGGTTCAGGACAGAAGGGCAAGGAGGTAAATCCAAACAGAGGGGCAATGGATTAACAGTGCTCAGTACTTCCAGTGCTGACTTTCAGAAGCTGCACTGTAAATCCAGCTTGTGTACATGGTCTAAAGAATTGGCCGAGGAAATTTGTTTAAGAAAGATATATTTGTTCCTTTAAAAACAACACTGTGCCATGCTGACTACAAACACATCTACAGTATGATGCTATTCTTTTAACATGGTGGAAAAGTACAACAATTGTGTCTATTATTCCAGCACATTCCACTGGATTTTGCATATCACTTCAACAAACAATCAGTACTCCACTGAATATCTTCATCATCACACATTTTTCCCACATAATCACATCATTTCACATAAAGAGTCCTGGTAGCTGGGATTAAGGTAAGGTGGATTAATCAAGACAGGTCTCAATTGCTCTGATCCCTAAAGCCCGTGTGTTTTCTCTGCCACAGATGCTGCCTGCCCCCTTTACAAGGCAGGGCGTCACCAAAGCCTGAATAATCAAACAGCACATGTTTGGTGGGGATCAAGGTCACTGGCTGCTTCTGTGATTAAACAGGCTTGGGTCACGCAAGGCGCAGTGCACGGTGCACGAAACTCCCACACACGTGACGACCCATCGGGTCCACGGAGGGCAGCAAGCTCCCTGTCCACCAGGCAGGCTCTTAGGTTTAAGTGACATGGCTGCAAAAGTGACCTATTGCATGCCACTGGATCAGGCTACTACAGTCTGTGACGTGCATATATCTCAAACATCAAAATGTGCAGTCATCATTTTGTTACTAGGCTAATTCAGGACGCTCAAGATGAGGCTCAGCATGGTGGACAGTGCTAAAGAATGTTTAGTAGCCCAGCAAACCACCAAAACACACAGTAACCATACCTATCTCCTTCTGTGTGCATCCCAGCAGGGCCTCTGGGAGCAGGGAACAGAGGTGAAAAAGGGAAATAAAGAGGGAATGAAACGGCTGCAAATGGGAAGGACAAAAAAGGTATGACAGAAAAACATCATTGCTCTTATAGGAGCATGTAGCAGACAAAGGCTACAGCGACGATCAACCGTAACAGGCAGGGAAAGAACCAAGGGCGAGCACATGGGAAGTCCAGCAGGAGGTGACAGGGAAACAGGAAAATCAAGAAAAACGATAAAATCTAAAACTATGCCACAGACAGGAGGCACTGATGCTGGTCCTCTAGGGCCCTAATCCAAATAATCTCTACCCCTAACTCCCTGGATAAGAATCTGTTCATTAAGTAAGCCAGCTGTCATCAAGGAGTGTCATTAGGAAATATTATCATGGAAAAAGTTCTCAGGTTAGACTGAGCATTCATCAGCCCTTTGTCCACATGTGTGAATGACTTGAAGACACCAACCACTTCAGACTTAACTGACTGCTATGAGCAGGTGTCTGGCGTTTATGCGGCGCTGTGCAGGACGGCCATTTTCGGCCTCCGTCTCACCTCGCTTTCTCTGACGCAGTTCCCTCATGGCTGCCCGGATCATCTTCCTCTCATCAAAATCCTTTGTCTGGTCCAGCTGTGTGTGTGAGAATATGTGAGTAGAGGAGTAAAGACTCTCCATTCACACACGCACACATACCAGCCACAGTAATGGAGGAATGGAAACTGACAGCATGTTTACTTTGGAAGTCTGTTTGTGGCCTAGACTTCAGTGGGAAAACACCAAAAAAAGATGCCATTCACTGGATTTGCAAGACACTGTTCTTCTGTTCCACTGCGCTGGTACAATTTAGTTTATTTTTAAATCATCTTTCCCAAAATGGCTGTCCAAACTGTTTAATATATCATTAAGCAGACAGTATTACAGCTCATTGACCGAAAGGTGGCGTAGAGAGCAGCGTCAGAGAGAGAAAAGCAGTGATTATCAGGTTGCTGTCTGCCATGGCAGTGTAATACAAGCAGGAAGAGGGTATGTGAGCAGTAAGGGAAGAGCACTGGTCTGCACGCCAGGCAATGTCCCCAGGATGCCTGCTTGTGCTTAGCACGTCATATTTTACCATCTTGTCTAGGACCTCCTCGTCCTCAATTGCAGCAAGTTCCTCGGTGGTGACCTTGCCCGAACGCTCCTTCAACCTTGGCTGCACCTCGGAGGATCCGTTGGGTACGGAGGAGGTCTCGGTGGCCGCACGCACCGAGGGTGCGGCCACAAACACAGGCTCCATGGCAACCGCGGGCTCATTCTCCATCTGAGGCGACAGAATCACAGTGTAGTTATGAGAATATTGGCCAGGGTTTCACTGAACAAAACTACCTGTGCAGTCAAAGGGAGAACACAGATAGAGAACCAGGCTTCAACTAATCTTCAATTCAGCAGCAGGTATACAGCTAACAGAGACATCAATTAATTATACATTTCATACAAACACACACACTCAAATACTTCTATTCATGTGTATGTCTGAGGTTGAGTACATTGCTCATGCAGGGTCAGTATAACCCACCCCCTTGTGCCACAGTCATAAAGAGGTATTTTAAGGCATATTTCGTTAACTCAGCAATAGAACTTTCAGAGCTTGATAAAATACATCCATCTATGCCAATTATACTTCGAAGTAGTTATAATTTTTGAAGATTTGAAAAGAAACCCATTTCGATGACTGACACATACAAGACAGGAAGCTTTGAGTCTGTCCTAAAAAACAAAGGCTATAAAAGGCATAGCGAGAGAAAAACCCCACAGATAAAATTACCAGGGTGGAATGACAAAGGGAACAGCCGCGGGACACACAGCCACATGGCCGCACTCACACAGGACGCACTGAAGCCCCTCCAGCACCCAGCCACGCTCATCCTGCCGACCCCCGTCCTTTGATATTCCTCTGGGGCCTTAGGTCTAACACTCAGCTGGCATTTCAGTACCAAGACCTGATTTTACATTGCAGAAATGCAGAGAGACCACCACAAACTTAAATGCTATTACCAATCAGTTCCCACACTGGAGTGTTTATAGCTAACATCCGCAGGGCCTCACAATTTATCCACACAAACAGGCTACAAGATTCTTTCCTCAAATTGTTTTTGTGCTGCTGCTGGCACGACAATTTAGAAGAATACTGATGGGGATGAACTATGTTCAATGTATTTTTATAGGAAAGCGTACTCAGAACCAAATAAATTTTAGGGGTCACTAAAGGCTAGAGATAACTGTGTTTACAAACACCCCCTCTGTCTTGCACATGCTTTACTTAGTTTTCACTGTGACTGAGCTCTGAATTAGTAGATCGCTCATGACCTCCCTCAAGGCCACCCTTCCCACCCTCCCTCAAGGCCACCCTTCCCACCCTCCCTCTAGCTACGGCCCGTTATGTCTGGGGTAGCCGCTTCTGCTTCTATGGAGGGTCATTTTGTGAGTCTGTTCCCAGGCTGAGCATGGCGTGGGTCCAGGGAGACCAGCGAGCCACTGGAGTGAGAGGCGCTTGACCGCACAGGAATGCTTGGGGCTTCGTGGCCTGCCAAGGCAAAGCGCCTGGCTTTGGGGGCAGGTGTCTGTGTCGGGGGGGGGGGGGGGGGGGGGGGGGGGGAATGGCCACTGGCATCTGACACAAAGTGACTTTACTCCAACAATCTGAAACAGGTATGTGAGGTATTAGCAGGCCTTACTCCACTACATCCTGCCTTGTACATGAACCCTGAACAAGAAACAGGGGTCAGGGAAGGGTGGCTTAGTCTCTTCTCAATCACTCTATCCATTGCTAAAAAGGGGCCAAAGATAACTCATCCAGTTCCTGCCCCTCCCCCCTCTATCATCCCCAATTTAGAGAAAGAAACTCACACTGTGCTATACCCGCCTGAAAAATTATCATGGATAAGGGCATTATAGAGGAAGCCCAGGATATTATTGTAACAGACAGGAACTGAACTGTGATTCTGAGATGATTAAACAGAACTACAAGAATAGCAGTCAACCCCCCTTACACACTGCCACTCAGCTGGAGAGAACTTTCACACAGATGTGTCCAGGACACATCAGCCCACGGACCACTATTCCTGTCAGAAATGGAAGAGAATTACACTGACAGCAGTGCATCATTTCATAGTGCTGCTAAGGAAAAAGCCTCCGTCCCTCCATCAGTTTCAACACAGAGCCAAAATGTGCAGCGAAACCCCATTAATGGGTTCAAGACTGACAGTTTTTTTCTACAAAGGTTTTTTCCTACTGATTCCAGAATTGACAATCTAATACTTCACATGTTAAATATCCCTTAAATGCCCTTTCGATGTGGAAACATACCTCTCTGAAACGGTATTACTTAATTAACCCAACATATTCTTTATACTAATTCTGACTGTGAAATGCCTGGTGTTCCTTCACGTCTAAGCAGTACTTCAAAGTAGATCTAGATTTTTATGCAGAGTACCGCTAATACCACATGGGCCCAGACACAACATTATAATCAAGCCCAATCAAACTAAAGGCAAGTCATCCTCTCTGCTCCCTTCCAGAATGCTGGTATCAAGCCGATGTCTAGCTATCCGCAGTTGTCTGAGGGCCCTCTGCTGCACTGTCCTGGCTGGGGAGAGACCCCGCCAATGAGCCACCTCCCCCACTGACCAGTGGGCAGCCCAGTCACATGTCCCCCTGGACAGGGTGTCACTCTCATCACTGCCAAAATAAAACCCATGCACCCCCATCAATGTGGAAGAGGGGACACAAACACTCCACAGGGGCTCACATTAAGGGGGAAAGAGGGCAGAGGAAAACAAAGTCTCGGTTAATGAAGAGGTGGAAACACTGGCTGTCATGGCGACCCAGTCCTGTTAATTTCTTGCCTTACTTATCCAGAAAATGAACAGAAAGTTGCTTTAGGTAAGGGCAGTCTCAGGGGGTGCCAGACATACCATGCTGTCGCTGTGAAAGAAGCCCCTGAGGGAGGGGGCGGACACAGAGCGCCTGGTAGCAAAGGCAGGTGGGTGGGGGGTTGATGCGGCTGGCACCATGTGTGGTGCCATGGCCTGACACAGAGCCTCCACTTGCCGTGCCAGCCTCTCCTGCTGGGCACGCAGCCGCAGCACCTCCTCCTGTAGGTCGCACACGGCATGCTCCAGGGGTGCCACGCGCCCCGCTGCGTCCCCCAGGCGGGCATCCACCCGCATCCTGAAGGCCTTCAGATCGGTGTGCACCTCAGCCACAGCGCAGCGCAGGGTCAGCTCCATGGCGCGCACGGCGCTATCCGCCTCCTGCCCGCCTGCTGGCAGCTCTACCACCAGCCCACTCTCCAGCCCAACATCCTCCTCCTCGTCCTCTTCATCCCGTACCAGCAGATCTCCAATCACGGCCTCTAGACCAGACTCAGCACAGGAGCTGTCCGTGCCACCCAGAGCCATGGGAGCCTCAGCGGCTGGAAGAAGGTCCACATTCACACCTGGCATGATGGTCACTCCACACCCAAGGACTGAGTTGTGCACACAATACCAGTTGGAGCTTCTTCCCCCAGTCGTTGAATCCTTTGAATAAACGACAAGTTCTCTCCTACTACTATTTTCCTACAGAGCACTCAAACACCTCTTGTTCTTTATAACCACCACAAATCTCCCCACTTGAGCTGCTTGGTCAAGCTGGCCAATCAGACTGCTGAGAATTTCGATTCTTGGGCCAAAGGCCCTGCCCCTCGCAATGAGGAACCAACCAAAACATTCCCGTTAATCACCCATACAGCTATTATTCCACAGGACAGGACTAAGGAATTGGCAGAGGCCCCCCAATCCGTATATTTAGAGCACCTGTCCTTCATAGGGTAGTATGCGGATGTAGTGGGAAAGCCACTAGGTTTATTTTTAGACATTGTTCTTGTCAAACAGCCGCATATGATTTCGAACAACATCTGTTGTTGAGGTCACGTGGCATGCCAGGCCAGATGACCTACAACCACATGGAGGCCAGAGTGCATTCTGGGAACACTCAAGTTATCCCTTGTTTCCATAAGGAACAGCAAATTCGGGTACAACATGGCATAACTGCTGCGTTTATCCTGAAAGCCACTGGCTGCAGGGACAGTGATGGCCCTGCTCCAGGACTTCCTCTTTTCTCAGAAGGAGTGTGAACAGTATCACTGTTGTTCTGCAGCTTGTATTTCAAAGTGGCCTGCGTCAGTGGCCGTGGGATTTGTTTTGCACGGCAGGTGCCCGAGCAGCCATCCATCCGCATTTGTTTTGTAAATCTATATCTGTGTGCGCGAGTGTCCTTCCGGCTCCCTTCGATTGTCACGCACCATCGTTTCACCTTGTGCAGGCAAAGCAGAGAGAAAGTCGTCTGTGTCAGTTTGCCTGACAGCTGCTGAGTGGAGTAACCTCCAAAACTGCTCATCGCTCAAACAGGATACCTCGAAAGCTGGGGATTGACAGCTGAGCAAATGTCGCCTTTGAAAGCGGAAGAGGGCATTACAAATAATATCCAAGCCAAGAGGCATTTTTTCTGTCACTTTCAATCACAAACAACTGCTGCTGTGGCAACACTGAGCAGGAGTACCAGCCAGAGCCAGTTATTTGGCATGATGCATATGTGCAATGCAACAGTATCAATTTAATAATTAATCAAACAACTCAACAAATACAAGACTGCAGCAGTAATATTCCAGGAGACACCTGAGGTACCAGCTACTGGTTAATCTCCTGCAAGATCTATTATATACAGACCAGCATCTACTTTAGGGTGTGGCCAAAATTATTAAGGAATTAACCAAAGGCAGGATTTAATATAGCCTCCAGGTCCCAGCTTAACCTGCCAATAGAAATGATACTCAATCAACCACTGTACAGAGCACAGAGACTGAGAAACTGACACTAACCCACTTCAAAAACACTGCCAGTTCAATCGCCTTAGGGAAGCTATTTCAGCATTCACCTAATGACCTCAATGAGCTGACCGTCTGGTTCCCCAGGAGACACTGTAAGCCGGAGTAGGACTCACAGTTCAGGTCTAACCTACAGGACCTGCCCTTGTAATACCCTTTCTTCATGGGGAGAAAAACAAGACATCGGTTAACCACTGGGCTCAGAAAAGGCATTACAGCAGGCTGTGCAAACCTGCCCCACAGCCCGATGCCACTCCGCCTATAGTAATCCCTTTAGCAGCAAACACTATGCTACTACACATAAATCAGTAATCAGTATGCCTACAAAGGAGAGTGATAGTGTTGCATCACATGGCCTGGCTACCTGACCTAAATCCAATTGAAATTGTTCTGAAGGAGTTTGACCATAGCGTGAAGGAAAAGCAGGCACTGAGTGCTCAGTATATATGTGGGACCTCCTTCAGGACAGCTGGAAAAGCATCCCAGGAGGCCACCTCATGAAACTGGCGTAGAGGGGACAGTAGGGTCAGCCTGTTCCTTAAGCCATTGGGGTTAGTGGCCTGGCATAAGGGCCCAATGGTGGGATCACTCTGCTGGCCACGAGATTTGGACCAGCAACCTTCTGAGTCCCAACCCACAGAGCTACCCCACCCCCCCAAAAAAACATTTTTTTGTTTAATACTTTTTTGGTCAGTGTATAATTAAAAATATTATGTAATAGTTTTGATGTCCTTATAAGGTAGAGAATAGTACAAATAAACCTTTCTATAGTAGGTAGGTGTATCCAAACCTTTGACTGAAACCGTGTGTGCAAACACATGTATGTGTATATTAAATATATATATATATATATATATATATATATATATATATATATATATATATATATATATATATACATACACACACACATATACGCATACACACACACATTCATAAATACATACACACACAGCTCTGGAATAAATTAAGCAACCACAGTAAAACTTTTTGTTTCACTTCATTTGAGGTCATCCTCTGATTCCCAATGTACTGTTGGATAAGTTGATGGTCATCTCTGGCATCAGAAAGCAGCTTCTGCACTCTACCTGGCTGGTTTTTGGTTATAGCCACTGTCTCCTGCTTCACCTTTTTGTCTTAGAAAATTTGCATTCTGCCAGCAGAACCAGGATTAGACCAGGATTAAAAAATGAGGATTCTTAAAAAATATTAAGTGGTCTCAATTTTTTTCAGAGCTGTATGTGTGTGCGTGCATAATACACACACACACACACAGACACACACACACGCACACACACACACACACACACACAATATAAAAAAATTTATGTGTGTGTGTGGATTATATTTATATTACATTGTATACATTATATATATATAAAAACCTAGTTGAGCCTCCCCATCCTGATGACATACACCCGCACTACTGTGAATAAAGGACAGTACCGTAGAACAGAGGAACAATGAATGAAGCTGGTATCCTTTCCCAGAACACTCCAGCCCATATGGCCCCATATGGCGTATTGATAGGTTCCCAGAGGGCGGCATAAAACACAATAGGCCGGATAACCTTCTGCATACATGCCAGTCCCCTTTCTGGGTATAACCTTATTCTTTGTATTTCTCTGCTGTCAGCCTGGAGCTGATCACAAAACAAAATGCCTGACAAACGTGCCCACAGGCAATCCAAACAAACACAAATGCTCCCACTCAAGCATGCATCCTGCGCTCCCTACCTTGGCGTCCTGTCGTGGTTCAGCTCTGACGAGTGGCCGCATTCCCAGCCCTGTGAACACACTACACCTTCCCCAGTCCCTGAGCTGTCTTTCTCTCTCAAAGCCTCGCCTTACACACTCTAACGGAAAGGGACGCACTTGCACACTATCATCACACCTATAACGCTGTGATCACTTCTCTAAGCTGCAAGCCCCCAATCCCTAAATGAGATTACAAGGAAGCGCTCGTGTTCAGAAGAGCAACAGGCAAACTAAAAAGAGAAAGTTGTAAAACACGTTCCAGCACTCTTTACAGATGAGAAAGCAAAGCGGAGAGTTTTCTTTCAGGTTATGACCCACACCTGACTCAATATGCACGGTCCTGTTCAGTGTTTTACATTGAAGATAAATGCATCTGGGGAAAATGCATTGGTCCTCAGGTTTTACTTGTAGTCCCGCCACCCAGCACCATATATCTTCAGGCAATAAAAGATCTGCTGCCATGATTGAGAACCCACTGGACTGTGACTTTCTGTTGCATAAATAGTGTGAAACAAGGCCAATGACAAAATGATATGCTACGCTAACAACAAAACAGACTGACGTTGCTAGTTTGAACTGCAAAGGACACTCATCTATTTGGACTGCAAGGATGCTCATCTGCATTTCCCATTTACTGGTGCAAGATGAGAAAGTTCACAAAAAGAATCCCAGGTGGGAACTCTCCATACAGACAGAGAGGAGGCTGTGGAATGCGACTGAACAAAAGATATCATGCTAAATGGAAAAATGAGGCTGACTGATGGAAGAGACTCTGCCCACTGAATGTATCACATAGCCAGAAGTGTTTTAACCGTCTACAAACAGCAAAAACCTTTCTAAACCTTTCCCTCTCCACTAAAGTGTGCCAATATAAAAGTCATCATGATGTCTGGAATACGGTTTACCTCTAGGGTAAACAGTGTGGCCATACGCCTCCTGCCTACCTCTCCTGCTCTCGCCCTTGCTCTCTCTCTCGCTCTCTCTCACATACACACTCCCCATTTTTTTACCCTTTAAGGAGAGATTGGACCCACTATCCATTCTCTGTGTCACAAACATGGTGCTGTGTCCTGCTCTCTCTCTGGGAGCCTGTGACACAGACACACACACACAGACGATAGTATTCATATCCCAGTGGGGACCATCCATTCATTTCTATGGAGAAAATCCTAATCCCAACTATGACAACCTTAACCAGTAACCGTAATCATAAGTAACCACACAAAATACAATAACAGATGTTTATCGTCCCCACAATGTAATATATACATTACCCCCCCCTTCTTCTCTCTCTCTCTCACAAACACAGACACACGCACACACACACAAAGAACCAAATTACATCTAAAGATGCAAGATGCAGCGTTTGAATAGTTCCATTGATCCAAACCTTGTTCTCTAATGAGAGTACTATCAATGTCATACTTGGGATGTATATTTTTCACTGTGGTAAATTCAGCACTTCAATGATTTTAAAGGTGTTTCAACACGTCTGATCAGGCAGAAGCCACCTGCTCCTGGCATAACTCTCACCTTTAGTATGGGGACCCAAACACAGCCAGCAGGTACTTCTGCTGTGAGATGTATGTCCCTGTACGCTCTGATCACTCTGATAACGCAACAACTGTAAACCTGCAATCAGTTATTGCTCTAAGTCTGCATGGCCAAGATACCTTGAAGGTGGAACTGGAAGAGATTCCAGAAGAGGAGATCTTGAAAGGAGTCGGTCTCAGGCCCAAAGTCAGCTCTGTGGATGGAGGTGTGTGTAAGAAAGAGGGAGAGAAAGACAGACATCAGCTGAACAAGCTCAAGCAAACTTCAGTTTCTCCAGAGCAAATTCACCATACAGGACATTTATCAACAAATGTTAAAATTATTAAACATTTTGCTATATGAATTCTTAAACATTCTGCCATATTAATAAAGTTATATTTGACTTATAGTGTGGAAAGAACATTTGTATTTATAAACATTGTCTATATATTTTCCATGGGTCAGATCAAAGCTACTAATTTCCAAACTGCGTAAGCTGCCAGCACTCAGAATGTCATAACAGTTAAACTGTGAGGTCACATGATTAATAGCCGAGTTGCACCAAAAGCAGCACCACTAGGAGTAAAGCCTGCATCAGCTTCTCCTGCTGGCATGCAGACAAAATAACACATAATGCTTCAGATAAATACAAGACAGGGGGACCAGGTGAAGTGCGCGAAAGCACCTGGAACATTGACTTGCTAATGCTTCCATGGCCAGAACACTACCCCGAAATCCAGAATGAAGAGTGTGTGTTGCTCTCTGAACCTGGAGCCTGGCCAGACATTCTGAGCAGGTATGCATTTGAGCCCCACCAGGCAGGTGTGTGGAAATACCGGCAGATAACATGAACCAAGCAAAGACAAGGGGACAAAGGGCTTCAGCACCGAGCCATCATGTGGAAGGAGCTTTGAGTAAATAACCTGCATCCTTGTTAAGACAGATGTGTGCAGCAGCTCCGATGGAAAAAGAGAAAATGATGCATCGCCAAAACAGCTAAAAATCTTTGTAGGTCTATAAACCCGACTTTATTTAGAAAAACCCGATCCTGGCGTGTCAGAATTCACCAGTGAATTGAGCAGCAGAACGCCCAGGAACACACGCAGGACACATTAGCATTCTGAGCAGAAGCCCATGGAAGATGCCTCTCCTGGTGTGGATGTGAATGCTCTAACTTGGGAGGAATGCAGCACTTCTGTTGAGACGCCACGTTGGAGAAATGATCTATTGTATCGTAAGTCACAACCCCCGAGTCCCCCGTCCCCTTGCTCTATTACTGCATGCATCTTTAGCCCCAGCGCCCACTCTGGTGCCGCTCACAGTGAAAAGCGCTGTGCGAGTTCTGGCAGAGTCCACTCAGTGGCCCGGTGACACCCCCGCGTGTTCCGACCCTGTGAGACCCCATTCAGTATTTCATGTGGTCCTTACTGACCTGTCATTCCCACGCTGTGCCTGCCTATGAGGGCCATTTACATATTGTTGCAAGGGGGTGGTATGCTGCCAAATATGTGCACACCCCTTACGTACAACAAGAAGGCAAAAACATCAGTGCATGATGAGAACATTAAACTCATGTGGTTTTGGAGAAGTTACTTGTTAGATTACTTTGGCCATATGATGTGAAAACACCTGTGATCTCCCCACGACTGCATGCAGTCAGAAAATATCACTGGGAAAAGAAAACAGCAGGACCTCCTGGCTGTAAGCAGGTGACCATAAGGGGTTTGCCTGTGTTAGCACCTGTGGCTCTTTCAGGTCACCCCTTTGCCAGATACAGACCTACTGACATCCCACTCCAACTGCTAAGTTTCACCATGAGGCAGTCCACAGTCATCAACATCATCTTTAACAGACAGAGGTTAGTCCCCTAGCCAAAGGGCATGTGACCACTGTAATCTCAGAGGGAGCTGTTGGTAATGATCAAATCAAGAACAAAGATTAATTATGCTTGTGTGATTTATAACTGAAAATCTAATCACTCACTAGCACTAGTCACTCAGATCCATGTGTCTAATCACTCACTAACACTACTTACTTAGATCCCAGCATCGAACCACTGACTAACCCTAGTGATCATTTTTCATACACACTCATCAACACATCCTGTATAGTCACAAAAATCATTGCTTTAAAAATACACAACCATGTGCCACCTAAACATCACAACTGATCTAAAAATAACCAAAACTGGGCTAAAAAGTTAAACTAAGTTTTTAAAATAAACCTCCAGCACACAGGCTTCAGGCTCATTGCTCTGAGTGGCAGATGAAACAGGACCCAAGGACTCTTTCACCTACCTGACCTGTTGCCCACTGTACTGGTGGCTAAGCGAGAAGCCATACTGCCCCCTGGAATGGTTCGCCCCTCCTTGATCTCAATGGTAAGGAAAGTCTTCATGTTGGAATCTCCCTCTCCTTGGCTGTGAGTTGTGATGTCCCCTGATGTGTCGCTGGCTGCTGATGACTCCACTGCCTGGTCCAGGGTGCTGCTCTCATCTGAGCCAGCAGGGGCAGGCCCCCTGCTTTCAGGCTGCTCAGAAGCCCCACCCCCACGGCTCTGCAACTGGCTGCTGGGAGCCCGTTGTGGGGCGGGAACATGAGGCCTGGTGGATGAACCTTTCTTTATGCCCACCCGGCGATGGAGTAAACTTCCAGGGCTCTCAGAAGTAGAGGAGGAGGATACAGAACTAGATGGACGTTCTTCATGGGACCTCCCAACTCCCTCAGGACCAGTGGAGGTGTGTCCCAACATAGATTTTCCTTTTCCTGGACTTTCGGACTGCTCCTTCAGACCAGGTTCCTCAAACCGGCGGGTCACTGTAGAGATGGGCATCTGGCCCCGCATTATGCTGGCAGTGGCAGGGTTCCTCACAGAGAAACTCCTCGCCTGGGCTGTCTGACCTGAGGAGCCTTCAGTAAACTTGCGTACCCGGTCCCTAACAGAGTTTGCTCGGCCAATGGAGAGAGCAGCTGCATCCTTCTGGTCACCTGCTGAAAAACAGAGACAGCCCTTGTGACTACCAGAGACACAGACAGACACACACACACACACACACAGTGAATCTCTCGTCCCACCTCCTATTTTGACATGTCAGTTCCTGTACCCCTTTGCTTCAGCCAACCCCCTGCTGTGTACATCAGATCTCTTGGTTCCACTTCATTGTGCTCTGCTCTTGAACATTCACGTTACGGTCTGCTAGACGCTCCTCACTTCACAACAAACATCCCGGCCTTCACTACCCTTCCCTCATCAGCAGGCCACCCTTTCTTAACACTACAGGAAAATCGACCCCTGCATCAGATGGAGAATCGGGGCCATTTCAATACCACCACTTTGCATAGTGCCCAACGAGCCAAACAAAGTAGGTGTTATTTTGCGATACTTTAAACCACAATCTGTACCTCCTCTTAACACCCGGCAGGTCAGTACATGTCAGTAATTAAATGTATTTTAGCTCACACTGACTCAGGACCTTTGCAGGGTAATTCTCTTACCAAGGAATAGCGAAATTTTAATGTACAGTGGGACACAATTAACTACTTAAGCACCAGTGTGCAACACAGACATTATATCCCCAGATTTACTCACGGCAACTGAAATCACACAAGTGCAGACTACATAGACAGCTTTATGTGAAAAAACCAGGAGATGTACAGATGTAATACCCAGCAGTATTGAGTTATGTCTTGTATTTAAGGCCTAAGAGGGACTACAAAGAGCCTCTCTTAGGAGAGACCAAACAACAGGGAGATGGAGACAAAAGAGAGAGAGGATTGGGGGGAAAACATCCAGGGAAGGTGCAACTGAACCTTTCAGCCTTATTGAGGCAAAAAATGTGCAGTGGTTGCTAGGGAACCAGGCCATGTTTACACCAGATGTAGCCCGGGATGCCGAGAGGTGACCAAAGGCAGACACGTGCAGGAGCACAACAGGTCCCCAGCTGGTTTCATCCTGCCCCTCTCTGCAGCTCCACCTCACACCATTCTGCTCCTCTCCAGCCCCTGCAGGCCCCTCTCCCTATACGGTCATGTTACCCAAGCCTTACGGCGTATGGAAGGGCAGGACGCCTTGATAGTCTGGCTGCTCTGATAAGCAGCAGCATCTGAGGAACCAAGTAATAACAACAGAGATAATTCATCGGCTCCTTTTCAGGGCCTATTTGGCAATCTTTAATTTTTTTTATGATGCCTCATGTCAGTGGCTATTTCAAGATATTTATGTTCAGTATAGCCTCTACCTAGCATAAGATCTGCTGCATCCAGTAATATTGAACAGGTCTTATTTGGGACTATGTGTTCAGGTCTGGCTCTGCTTGTTTGTTATGAGTGTCAGTCCTCACCTGTTGGCTTGGTGGTGCAAAAGAGTGACTGAGGCATCTCTCTTGTCCTTATTGTCTGAAAGAGAGAAAAAAAACACCTCTTTGATTACTTTAGTCCAAATGGATAAATGATTAATCAGTCTTACCTGTTTTGTTATTGTTTGGCAAGTACTTTTACCCAATTGAGCTTAAATTCAGATTTGAAGACACAACTGGACCTCTCAATGCAAATCAGATGAAGAACTTTGCTGAAAGACAACAGTAAGTTTCTTCTGGGACTCAAACTGTCCCAGAAGAACAACCATTTCATTGCATACTCAAGGCATTAAATGCTAGTATAATTGCTGGTGTGATTAAAATAGAGCCATAAACCAAAAATGTATATGTGAATCAAGGTTTGAGATTTGAGGTGCTATCTGGGACCACAACCAAACTATGGGACAAAGAAAACTGGCAATGTATTATCATGTGATCATATTGAAGCAGTCATGTGACAGGGTTCTCAAGATCAGAAGACAGCTGGCATGTATTTAGGTCAGCTCAGATATTTGAGAGAGCCAAGGCTGCCAGACCGATGAAAGAACAAGGTTGCCAGGCAGGTTGCTGATTAGACAGCTTACAATTTAGAAGTGGACTTTTAAAGTTACCCAGTATTATCCTGCAAGGAAAGGCTTAGAACTGGGAACTTCATGCCTGGGATCTTTCTTTTTTATTGCTGGGGATTAAGTAGCCACGTGCTGCTGGTATGAGGAATGTAAACATAGCGGGAGCATGCAGCCAGGCAGGATGATAAAATGTACACAGGGCCTTTAAGAAACAACCTGAATAAACACATCAGAAGCAGCGGCGGCCCGTAACCACAACCCTGGTCTAATAATGTCATGCACCCAGAATCACAGGTCCCCCGTGTCTCTTTTTGTTCCACGTCTGTGTGTTTATTCTGTGCTTGCTTTCAGCAGTTTGTCTTTCTTTGTGTTCCACTGCTGATGCAAACCAGATCCTGCAGGAGTCAAAGGTCTCTAAAAATAAAAAACTGAAGGCGACTGAAGATGCCTGCTGTAATCCGGAGCCCATCACATCCTGTGTGGACCACAAGGTCTCGCCTAGTGCCACCGACTTTGGTGACAGTTTGTTTGCACAGTGGGGCTACTAGTCAAGCAACACTGCATGGAGTCCAGAGCAGTCTCAGTTTGACAGTGCTCTGCTAGGACAAATTATTGCTGGACTTTGCTGAGGCAGTAATGAGGAAGGCTGGTATCTATGTGGGGTTAACCAATACAGCTCAGCTTTGCCCTCTGGTGGTGATGATGTAAAAGGGACATTATGTGTAAACTGCTTGCAGGGAACAATTCTGTATGCTAACCCAGGATATCTTGTGCTACCAAATGTACCACTATCATCATACTGTAAAACAAATGTAAACATTTTATGCTTCAGTGTGTCTTGACTTTGTATTTAGCAGAATATCCTGAAGTTTCAGGCAGAATCACATTCCTTTTAACAGTGCAATACCTTTTGTTCTTTAGTATCTTCCCTGGTCTTCGAACTTCCATTAACCAAGCCATTGCAAGATGCATGGACACTCCTGGAGTAGACGACACCATCAGGCTGATCATGAGCTGTATCTGTGATGGAACTCTCATCACTGGGCTCATAAATAGGCCTTGGTGCTCTGTGGCTGTTGCTCTCAGGCTCTGGATCTGAGCTGGCGGAGCTGCTTTTTGCCTTCATTGGCACCTCCTGGAGATCTTTGTCAAGTGAGGATATACAGCTGCTGAGATCCCTGTGTGATTCCAGTAGTCCTTGTGATGAAATGGAGGACCCGGACCCCAGCCGCTGCCATGGTCCCAAGCCTGTGTCAGACATCCCACAGTCTAGTCTGTCTCTCTGTTGGACCTGGGAGCCTGTGCTGCCCTCAGAAGATCCAGAGTGGTATTGAGCCCTTTGAGTGGAGAGCACACTCTGCTCAGATGCCGTAGAGTCCAGTAAAGCCCTGACAGCAGAGCCTAAACTCCACTCAGATGTCCCAGAGTCCAATCGGGATGAAGAGGCAGAGCCCACACTACGTTCAGATGCCCCAGAGTCCAATCGAGCCCTGGGGGCAGAGCCCACACTCCGTTCAGATGCCCCAGAGTCCAATCGGGCCCTGGGGGCAGAGCCCACACTCCGTTCAGATGCCCCAGAGTCCAATCGGGCCCTGGGGACAGAGCCCACACTCCATTCAGATGCCCCAGAGTCCAATCGAGCCCTGGGGGCAGAGCCCACACTCTGTTCAGATGCCCCAGAGTCCAACTGAACCCTTGAGGCAGAGCCTACACTCCTCTCAGATGTCCCAGAGTCCAATCGTGCCCTGGGAATAGAACCCACACTGTGGTCAGGGGTCTCAAAGTCTAACTGGGCCCTGGAAAATGACTCCACACTCCTCTCAGATGCCCCTGAGTCCAGTCGGGCTCTGAAGGGTGCAAATTCCTGGCTCAGCTCAAATGAGTCCTGCTGCTGGCACTGAGTCACAATGCCGTTGAAGTCGGAGGTCCCGGATTCCAGGCACCGGTGTGCTGCTGCAGGGCCTGCTGGCTCCCCTTTCCCCACGGTGTCCATGACCAGCGTCATGCCTGTGCTGGAGCCTGTATGCAGCAAATTAGCAATAATGTAATAAGCAGAAAAAAAAAATACATAAAAAAAAGAAAAAAAAGAAAAATGCTGGGTTTATCAATCATTGTATCATTCAGCATAGCTTTCTTTTTTTTTTGCTCCATTTCTACCATTGGTAGTTGGTTTAATACAGTGGTACCTCAGTTCTCGAACTCATTAGAACTCGAATTTCTTAGAAATCGGACCAACCAGTTTGAAAAAAAATTACCTAGAGCTTGATCTGAATCTCAGAAGTCTGAATCTCTTTTCTTACTTTACAAATTACTGTTTTGATAAATGTGGTTAGATGTGTTTAGTACAGTATATGCTCTTCTTGTTTTATCCGTATTTTTAATTGCTAAAAAAAAAAACCTTTACGTATAATATTTTGGGGGTGGGAACCAATTAAATGGTTTTCCATTGTTTCTTATGGGGAAAATTCGATCAGAACTCGAACTTTTTAGGATTCAATCCGGAGTTCTGAACGGATTAAGTTCGAGAACTGAGATACCACTGTATTATTGCAGATGATGACAAACACGGTTTCTGGGAATCAGCTGTTGTTAAAAATGCTGCTTAAAGCATCACTTTATGCCAACACTCCTGTCACCACAAGTACTGCTGCCTGCGAAGATGCAGCAATGTTTCTAGTTGCCACTAGCAACTAGTTTTCTATAGATTAATGTATCGACTCTTTTACCAATTGATCGATTAATCTAAACGATTAATTTTCCTCCAGAAAATCAAATAGAAAGTTTAATTTATTAATTTTATTTTTACAACAAACTTTATGTTACTGCAGGGCTTTAGATAATGGACGCCAGCTTTTCTGCATTATATGGACATTATTTTCACCCACAATCCAATAAGCAGATTAGGAGTATGCCCAATATATTAATGAGGTGCGTATTGTTAGTAAAAAAAGTTAGTAATCTGTATAAATTCAGCGTGTCCTTATGCTTATGCTTATTAAATTCGGTTAGCAGAGCATGCCACATGTGACTGTTTTGGTAAATCATGGAAGCAATAAACACTGAAGTCAAGGAAGAGATACCTCAGCAACCACAATATATATTTTAAAAGATTAGATATTGTGGATAAACAAAGTAAAAAGATGTTTGTGGTGTGCTTTTCAGTTTTAGTTTACAATAATAACACTGGTCCCACCAAGCCCAATACGCACAAACACACACTGTCACCGTCAATCCACAGAGAATAAGCCCAGAATTAAGCCTAAACATTTTCTCAAACACATAGTGTAGTAAGCAGAGAACTTTATGGCTTTAATAATGAGTGTATTTAACAGCTACAATGACAAAAATATTAAAAAGCTCTCCGTACTAATTAGAATTTAAAAACATGAATAGCCTGGCGGTCCAGAATAGTGCCTGTGCTCTTTCTCTTCAGATGCTCGTGTTTAGCGCTGGTGCCAACATAATATGCTATTGAACTTTGCACAGTGTGAAACCACCTTTTTTGTTTAGTGCTAATTTAAGCTACTTCCATAATTACGTGGCGATATTAAAGTAAAACTTTTGTTATAATGTATATTAGCGTTTTAGAAATCATGCATCAATTTAAATTATTGATGTCCACGCTTTTTGAGCATAGACGTCATGGACTACGTCGACTAATCGTGGCAGCCGTAATGCTTCACATTCACCATGTGGCTAACAGTTCATGTCATTCATGCATTTTGGTTTCCATTCACATTTGGAGTCCTTAGCCAACTAGTTACAATATTTGGGATTGGCAAGCCAAGCAGTTGAGAAATTGCACTTCCACATTGTGTGTGTGTTGTAAACTGCAAGTCAATATATCTTGCTGGTGATTAATTGATACTTTACTTTATTGATCCCCGTGGGGAAATTGTTTTTACGCCTTTCCATACAAGCTGTCCGCGAAGGGCAGCCACCCGCAGCGGCGCCCAGGGAGCTGGGGATTGAGGGTCTTGCTCAAGCAGACGTGCTGAGGCTGGGCTTGAACCGGCGACCTTGTGATTACAGGCACACGGCTTAGCCCACTGAGCCACACGCTGCCCCTAGATTAATCATACAGTGTGCACATTCTGGCACTAATAACCAGTTCACATCACTACTTTAATCAAAAACATTAATTGCAAATTCATATTTTTTTTAAAAAATACATAGCAAGCCAATTTGCTGCAATTGTCTGGAAACACCAATATTGTTCCATACTTTCCATACATATCCAGACATAAGACACCAAAATTAAATTCCATACTTTTCCATACCACAAAGAAACTTTGCATCTAGTAAACTTCTTTATTTTCCTACTCCTTCCACTAGTGTATAAAACTGTCTATATAAATCAAACATTTCATATGAAATGTGTGCTTTTCCTAAACGTAACAAAGATAAAATATGCCAAAAAGAAAACACATTAGAAAAAGATTCTTGTGGTAAATCATCCAATTTATAATAACTCTTTCACAAAATCCCGTTTGTGTCTCTAAGTAATTTTAAGGCAATTATGACACTGGAATTGTCATTAAAGTATGCATTATTTATTACCCTTCAAGTACATGTTAGGAATTCTTAGTGATGAGTTGTAACTACTGATTTATGAAATGTGGTTGATAGAGGAATTGGAGGGGGCAGGTTCTCAAGTCCAGACATGTTTTTTTGGGTCTGATTCAACATGAAGCAAGAGTCATTCTTGGAAGAGGAAGTGACAAGCAGGCACAGGAAATGAAGTCAGAGTGAGGGCAATCAGTAATGACATCCAGTCAACTGCCAGCACATCACAGCACCTCCACTACCTCAGGAAAATGTCTGTATTATTTAGGTTTATCCTTGCCATCATGTTGCAGCAAATAGCAATTGGGCAAGTGTAGAGAGATCGCAAAAGGACTGCAAGGAATGCAAAACTATTTAAAAAAATATACTACCACCTTGACAATTTTAGGCGCTCCATAGACGGCAAACAAAATTACAACAAATGGTCGAATGTGTCTATAGGCTACAGTGGCACTTAAAAATTCAAACGGGTTAATTATAATTCAAATATGAAATTTTCACATCATGCTTCAATGAATGTTCAAATATTAGTTTAAAAGTGACAGCTCTAGCACATGCAGAGAAATATACACACAAACACACACCAGCCTCTGCGCTACTGTCTATATCACTACCAAAGGGTGAATAAAGAAACACATACAAACATATAGCTGGAAAAACTAGGCAAATGGAAAAACTGTAAAGCTGTATAATTTCCTGTATTATTATTGTATTATTATAATCAGGTTAGGAGGCCAGTGTACCATAACTCATAACTAGGGCGGGCTCTATCATATTTGCATATCGCACTGAAGTATACCAAACCATAGTGTACCAAAACAGTAAGTGGTGTGCTCCGCTAACCAAATTTAATAAACATAAAGATTCGCAAGTTTATACAGATTAACTTTTGGGCGTCATAAAATGCCTCATTAGTATTTTAGCCGGACTACTAATCTGCTTAAATTGTGGGCGTAAAGAAACGTCCATATAGTAGCAAAAAGCTGGTATCCAGCCAAATGTTTCGCCTGTCATCTGAAGTCCTTGTGATTTATTGCACATGCGTGATATAATATTGATATGATATCGCCCAACCCTACTCATAACCCTTTTGTACATTGACCCCCCGATGTGAGAAAGCAAACATCATGCCTTAAACTGAGGACTGCTAGTGAGTGGGAGGGTGAAGTGTGTTGAAGCAACACTATTACATTCCAGTCACCTCAAAACATAATCGGGTTAGGAGGCCAGTGTTACTGAAAATGTCTCCATCTACCACCACTTGGATATATAAAGAATCAGCCCCCACCGTCACAGGCTAGATGTTCCCCATTGAGCGGAAAGTTTACTCTTGTCTTCACAAAATCCCACCACAAAAGGCCAGCTATGACCTTGGCTACTTATTTTATGCACAGCAGCTATGACAGATCTTAAATTTTCTGAGAATAATTGAAAGGTCTAAAATTGGGGCAGGGTAAAACAGGTTCACAGCATGTGTATGATGTTCCATTTTGAGAAATTCTGAACAATATATATCTGTGAAGAAAACAATACTTTTACTAACCAAAAACAGCCCACACAGAGAGGCATACATATTATATGACCTTCATCCCTTCCCTCTAAAAAAAATAAGTAAAACTAGAAAGGCAATTGTGGCCTGTTGTTTTTGTTCAGAGTTGAGTTCCCTCAGGAATTCCTGCCGACGCTGTGCATTCCCTCTAACCAACATCAAAACGGGTCATTTACCAAATCACGGCTCTCTTGCTTCAGCTGTGGTGGTCTGGCAAGACTGGATCCCAGCCCCCATCTTTCTTCTTTGTGAATTTTACCATTATAAATCCCACCCCCCACCCTGTCCTGTCCTGCCCCGGCCACAGACTTCCTGTGTCTGCTGCCAGGCCGTAACAAACTGCACACTTCCCACAAGTGTACAGCTGTGAGGCGAGGCTGCTCCTGTGTTTGCCCCCATGCTGCTAGGTCCTAATTGTAAGGTGCATTAGGGCAAGTGGGGGGGAATGTATTTCGGGGTGTTATGAAAGCATTTTGTCCTTGGCCAGATCATTTTGTGGGGCACACAAGATGTGTGTTTGTGTGTGAAAGGTGGTTTCCTGTGAAGTTAAAATGTGGGATCACATTCCAAGTACATCTATTTATAATAATCTACAAGATGGGCCTTGAAACCACCTTGAACCACCTTAAACCAGGTGCGGGTTACGGAGACGATGTCCTCAGATCACTGGACTGCCAATGCTCTACAACGCAGCCTTTTGACAAACAAATTCTGGATGCTTCACCCAATCCAACCAGGTTACTGTTTAGCAGTTTTGAATACTTATTTGTTTGGCTGTGAATTTTCCACTGTTGTTGGATAGACATATGCATTGAAATGATACAGCCAAATGCCTAGATGCTTGTTGAGACAGAGGTCAGGCTGATGGTTACAAAATCAGGCCAGATCTTGAAGCAGAGAGAAAGGACCAGGGAAAGTGGAACAAAGAACACCTGGGCCTCCATCACCTATACACACAGTCACACACAGAGCCTGGAGCTGGGTGTGGCAAAGCGCAGTGCAGTCGGGTGTCCTACTGAGCCTTGGAGAAGTCCTAAGCCAAACTAAATATGCAATCAGAAGCAAGAGGGAAATGTTCAGCCACATTTTACTCACACTGAAGTATGGAGAGATGTGCACTTTGACCTTTCATATATTTATAGTTCTCTGTTTATTTTCTTTTTCCACAAATCAAACATGCCATCAAACAAGACATTTGTAAAGAGAATCTCAGCTGCCAGCACAATTAAGGTTGCTTTCAAAATTCATTTTATAATATAATGAACCTAAACAGGTGGCATGGTGGTGCAGTAGTTAGCACTGTTCCCTCACACCTCTATGATCAGGGTTCAAGTCTCTGCCATGGCTCCGTGTGTGTAGAGTTTGCATGTTCTCCCTGCATTGTTGTGGGGTTTCCACAAGGCCATGCTGGAGTTAACTGGCGGTACCTAATTTCCCATAGCTGTGCTTGTGTGAGTGAATGGTGCCCCATCCTGGGTCATTCCATGCCTTGCACCCGCAGCCTGCAGGATAGTTACCAGAGCTCTTCCCCCTCCTCCCGTGACCCAAAATATGATAAGCAGTTATAGAAAATGGATGGATGTACCTACACTTTGCATCCCATATAAAGTCATCCTACCCTGTTCTGATGTGTTCAAATAATGAAAAGATGGATTTTCCTTCCTTCAAATTAGTTGAAATCATATGGCAATAATAAAAACAGACAGCAGATAGGGATCAGTGTCGATGATGCCGGTGAGTTCTTTACCTGCTCTGTGCAGCTCTCTGCTCTGTTTCTGCTGACTGCGCAGCTCTCGAATCTGCAATTTGATTCGCTCTCGCTCTCGCTCCCCCAACCTGTCCCTGTCAAGATCCTACAAAAGAAAATTAAAAATTAATGACAGTCAGGAAATGCCTCATAGCACACACATGCACAACTCAGTATCTCAGGAGGTGCCCTGCCAAAGGGCAACGTACAGTGACCGAAGCTGAGCCTCAATATGGTTCTTACCGCCCCTGTAACTGACAATTTCTTTTTTTTCCTCCCATTCTATTTCTTTAACACCACATTCACTCAAGTCCATTATTAAACTGCTGGTAGGTGGTCAGAGGTCTGGCAACCAGAAGGCAGTAAAAAGGGTAGGTGCAGCATCACCATGGAGATATAACTTGCGGACTGCTACTGTAGCAAAGGAGCCAGACTTATGTCCAGAGGTACTAGATTTAAAGCTCAGCAATGGTACTTAGGTGCTGCTGCTGTACCATGCTGAGATTACTTTAAACCAGTACTTGACAGAGGGACACAGATCTACAAAGCCAAGTCAGCCCTTTCATGCCAATTAGGGAATAATGCGGATTCCATTCCAATACACTGTTACTCCTCCAGAATGAGGCAGGAAGTGGGATGCCTTCCTCTTCCCGTGAGATATGTATCAGAGGGTCCATCTCAGCAAAAGGAACTCTGCCCAGGGTGTGTTACAAACAATCACAAATCTCGATTTCCTTGAAATTAAGATTTTAAGATCAGAACCCACATCACTTTTATTATTATTGCCATAGGAAGCACATGCTTCTGTATCAAGGGGAAACAGCTAAAGCCTGAAAGTGCAGCCAAGTAAACCCTAGCAAGTCCCCCACGTACTTGCAGGGTTTTAATCATCTGAGGCATTTTCCCTGAATTTTGTTCCCATGATGCCCCTCCCACTCTTGCATGTTATAACAACATCTATTTATAAAGAACTCTGTAAACTGCTTGGATGACCTCCAATCCTGAAGACAAAAATGAAATCACAGGACACACAGGTGTCCTTAATGTGAAAAGGGAAGTTGCCACAGTTCACACTGCTGTCCATTTCAGGTGTGATGTTTCCACCTGTCTCTTCTTCAGTTTTGTTTTACCCCAAGTACAATGGAGCACAGTAAGACTCTACTACCAAAAGAAAATGTATGCAAAAATGCTTGTTTATGTTTTGTTTTTTCCCCTAACAAAAGTAATATTACTATTTTGGCATCTCCCAATTTTTTGATCACACTCTGCCTATCCTGACCATGGCAGTCACTGAAAATATAAACTTTATAATAAAACTACTTGAGTTATTCATCTACTTCTTCCCACTGTCTGTGAGATGGATTGGCATTATCTTAGGCCCAATCCCAATTCTATTTTCTACCCCTTTGCCTACCCCTCACCCCTTCCCCTTGCCCCTTGAAATGAAGTGGAAAGGGGTAGGGTTAAAAAATTTCCCCTAAGAAATGGGACACCACTACTACACTGTTATATGTCATCATCCATTGTCACTACCTCCTAACGTTACGTCAGAGGACATGCTCCGATGTTTATCACAAATTCCAAGATGTCGCCGTCAGCATCGTAGCATGTAAAGATTACTCACTCCCAAAGTTTTTTTGCGCCGTATTTGGACTTTAAAAACAGATGTTCGTTTTCACCTTGAAAACGTATGAGCCTTCGGGTTTCCTCAGTTGTCCCTATACAGAATATAATTTACAAAAATGTTGTCATGTTGCAATAAGTACGAATAGTGTAAGCACCGTTCATTTACATGTACACATATGGCCGTAAGCAAAACAAAACAACGCGTTACAACATGCAGTCAGTTACCGGGTAACGTTATATGACATAAAAATATATTTCCTAATATTGTGCAATCAGTGCTATCCGCAAGCAAACTTTAGCGATTTTTTTTCAAACGTTTCTTTACAGAACATCACCGTAAACACAAACACAAGATTGATGGTAATATACATGTAATGAAAAAATGTCATAAAAATCCTTATTAATGGCAAAAATTACTTAACATTTATGGGTCTGCTTGCTCGAGTGGGCAGCCATGTTGTAAATTTCTCTTAGCCCTTCGTTTGAAGTGAGGTCCCGAAAAATCTTCGTTTCGAGGGCTATCTAGCCCTTCCCCTTACCCCTACCCCTCCAATCAAAAGAGAATTGAGACACCCCTACCCCTACACGTGAACGCGCCAAACGGAGGGGTAGGGGTAAGTGTAGGGGTAAGGGGTAGAATTGGGATTGGGCCTTAGTTGTTTTAATATATGATTTCTTGACTTCACATCAACAATCGAATAATCTAATTTTTTTTCTTAAGACTACATAAAAATGTATGCACAGCACTCATGACTTTCCTTGAGATGTTTCCATGTTAACTTAATGTCTGAATTACAAGACTCAGACAAGTAATCTAAAACTGAAAATGAATCAAACCTTGATCAAAGACACAAGGTAAACAGATTAGTTGTATGCACACAAACCTGAACTGGAGAAAGATGTGAATTGCTCAATGTATTTTGAAGAAACTGAGCTGTGAGCTTCACGCCTACATTAACGAATTAGACAGTGTGGCAATCACCGTAAACAATGAGCAATCAGCCAATTCTTTGCTCCCAACGGTTGTCACAATCTAAAAGGTGTTGACTGTTTCACATAGAACCCCTAAGGGTCTAGCAAGCCTAATGAGTCATGAAAGCCTGCAGACAGCTGTGCATTTTGAAAAAGAAAGGTACTAAGCATCCACTACTGGCTAACAACCCTCCCACGCCCTCTGGAGCTCCCTGTTCAATGTGAACATGACAACAATTGACCCCAACAGCAGTAAGGTAACAGCAGGCATTCTCTTCACAGCAAGGCATCTGTACTAAAACAGACTCCAGACAATGATACTGCAAGGGTGCAAGTGGACTTCAGGCCAGCCAACGCCCCACACTGTAACCACCCACCTACACCCATTTCCAGTCTGAGGGGCTCGCCAGAGATCTAATGTTGGAGAGGAACGTCCTGTCTTTGTCCTCAGAGGCAAATCCTATCCACCCCTGTCAACACCACTGGACAGAAGACTTTGCTAAATGTAGGATGGCCAGTGTCCTAAATCCTGACCACAGTTAGGCGTAGGTCTGCTATCTTCCTGTTTAAAATCCCAAAGATTTTAGGCTGACAGTAAATGAATGAGACGCAGATTTCAAAAGTCAACAAAGCTGTGAACTTCATAGTTTGTAGAAGAGTTTTAATTAAATGGACTTTAATAAAATGTCACCTGACAATCACAGCGCACACGCACACACACGTACACGTACACACGTGCACAAAATTTAAAATCTACTTTCATTAGCATTTTCAGAAAACAGTGTAACCCCGGACTTTTTCTTATTTTGGGAAAGAAAAATACAGTAGCTCACCTATCATTTTTCCATTGAATACACACACATAATAAAGAAACTCCAAACTTTCATTCAGTAGATGTGACTGTGAGAAAACTGCAGAGAACTTGTCCAAAACCCAACACCACATGTCATTCCACTGCCACCAGACAAAGTGGCCCCAGCCGTAGCCTCATCTCCTGCTGTCTTACTAGGGTTTGAAAGCCAAATTATTCCCATAATTTTCTCAAAAGCTGCTCTGTTCATGTCCTTTGTTCAAGCAGTGGCTGCCATTATCAGAAAGAGAATAAACATGATTGTGCTCTCCGTCTTCCACCCATATATCCCGTACACAAAACCATAGACACACACACATACAAAAACACCTGGCTTTTGAGAACTACTGTCTGTCATCAGACAAACATTACTGGCAACAGCACAACGCCTGCAGGCATGTAGCCTACCCAGCCCTCCTGCACCTCCTTGAACTCCTTGGCCATCGTACCTTGTAACCTCGTACTGCTCATGCTTTCCATTCTGCTCCAGTTGCTGCCGGCATGTCTCCCCAAACTCTCTTACTCAGTGACTGGCCCATACTCACACACAATCACACATGTCAAGGCCACTCCTCCACACCCCTCCTAGCCCCCCCCGAATTTCCCTCTTCTCCATGTGGTGGCCTGGGAAGCCAGATGCTTCTGTCTAGCTTTTTAACTACTCACTCACACACTCCTTCCTCTGAAGGAGAGGTTCCACTTATAACCCACTCCCTGCTGCTCTGGTGTAAAGATACATGCATTGGAAAAAAGAAAGGAAAAAGTTAACATTTTTTCCCCAGAAAGTGGTCAGGGGAATGTTGTCTTGGGCCACCACACTAACAATTATAGTCTTAAGTGATATGTATAGGATTCACAGTATAGGTTTATGAAGTTGGCAAGATGGAAACTTTCCTCTTGACTGACTTACAAGAACCTGAAAATAAGATTCAAGTTCCAATAAATATGAAAAGCAAACACCTGATATTTAATAAGCTTCTGGTGAAATGCAAACAAAAAATCTTTTTTTTTTTTGAGAATTATGATAGTCTGGGAAAAAGCAAACAACTATAAAGAAGAATAATCAAACAAATGCTCCAGAAACACATTAGACCAATAATTGTATGGAAAGCCGACATCCCACCGCTCCTATTGTTTTTGGCAAGCACACCAAAGAATGAGGCTGATACACACACAATGAGGCACCTGGGAACTGGATCATCCCCCCCACTACACGCTGATCATTGTTGTGCCAAGGATGTGTCGTCACCAGGCCACTTTGTTTACCCAGAGTATTATGTTGCGTTCCATTTATCTCGGACGTCGGAGCTGGGAATGACGTCACACCCGAGTTAACGGCGTTCCTGTACAACTAGCCATGTTAGACATCAGCAATACCAGATAATTACAAAGCATTGCGTGGTATTTTGCACATACAAACAACACAGCAACATGTCCACAGACAAAGGTTGGACAGTACTGTGTGTACTACCGATTTAATGAGACACAAATAAGGCAGTGCAGTACAACAGTTAATTACTACAGCTTTTTACTGTTGATGCATGGAGCAGCCATCTTGATGTCGGGATTGTGGAGGTTCGTCTGGTTTTCCAAGTTGGAAGTCCGACCTCAGGGGACGTTGCAATTAAAAATTCCCAACAAGGAATTTGAAAATTCCAACTTCCCTATTCAAATGAAATGCACTATTACAAGCCAGCAGCACATACCTACTTTAAATGGGGGGTGTACCACAGAAGAGGGCTCACATAAGTCAGGACATATGCACTGTGACAGACACATACAAACAGATGTATGTTTGCATTCATAACTGTGCGGGCAATTCACACAGTTTCATTATGTATTAATTTTGAGTCCCAACATCAATCCATGATAACTGCGAACCAAATTAAACTGATAAAGAAACTTCAGACATCCACATCAACACCAAGATGGTGGAATTTCCAGGGTTTTCTAATTTTCTGAAGACTTTGGAAACTCACCATCACTGAGATTCAAATATACAGATGGTAATTTACACTGAAAAATATATGCAGACCAAAGACTGAATGCAAACACCCTTTCTACCATATGACAAAAATAACAGCTTGTGGATTTGAAGAATGGTTGACTGAAAAAGTCAATACTAGCATTTATGTCATTCTTCACTACAAGATTAGAAAAAATGCCAGATGGCTACGAACTAAAATGAAATGCTTGTACTGCAATGGCATGTACCTGTGTGTGTTTTTGAATTAGTGTTATCGTCATTTTGATTTTCATTTGAATTTAACTTCGTTTTAGGTGTGACTTCATTAGTTTTTATTTTAAAGACGTAAATCTACCTACATTTTAGTTTAGGTTTTACTAATTTTATTTCTAGGGATTAATGGAAACTTAAGACTTTTCTAGCTACTACAAAATGTCGCAATGTAGCACTCTTGCCTATTTCTATGGTTCATCTGCATTGCAAGACAGGCCCAAAGATAAACAAATCACTTCTGCTAAATAGTATTTAAAAGCAGTAACAGGAAGTATGTGACCTTTGTTTTTATTTCAGCTGGTTTTGGAAGCAATATTTAAAATCTTTGTTTAGCTGTAATTATTTTACTTTTATAACTCATTTTGTTTATGGAAATGTTTTTAATAATAACCCTGCCTTGTGTACTGTAAGTATATGGTGCATGGTTAGTTATAGTTAAATTCTTCTTTATTTTTAGAACATCCATATCACTCTTCATAAATGTGACAGTTTGGCACTATAGTGCTACACCAGGCCTGACACCAAAGTACACGGTTGCATGGCATGTTGGTGCTAAAAGTATGAATATTCAGTGTCACGCATGGCCTGTCACTACGCACACCCGCTTTCATGTGAAGTATGAATATTCAGTATCACGCATGGCCTGTCACTACGCACACCTGCTTTCATGCGAGGGATGAATATTCAGTGTCACGCATGGCCTGTCACTACGCACACCCGCTTTCATGTGAAGTATGAATATTCAGTATCACGCATGGCCTGTCACTACG